TCCTTCTTAAAAATGTTGCAAGTAGAGGACATCTGTCATTGAGCCTACAGAACATGAAGCCCTACATCTTTTTATTGCTGCACATAGACCTTGCAGAGTGTAAGCACTTTGGCAGGGTTCTTTGACATGCAACTGTACAGCACATCGCAGTATTTAAAGGACAGTTGCACAGCACCTAGTAGGAATGGCAGCTAGGTACAGCTGACTGTAAGTGATTGCATAATATAAAATTGATTTAATAAATTATATCTCATCTCATTGTTCTAGTGGTACATTTTCAGATCAATAAAAATATGATCCTAAAATTAATGCAGTTCATATTGATTTTGTTACTTACAGGCAAACTACAGGCTACAGGGGGTGGAGGAACTAAGGAATGCATGTCTAAAGGAAACACGGACAGTGTAGGACAACATTGGCAAACCAAGAGGAGCTAAGGAATCCACAGGGAAGAGTCTATGACTGCAGTTGTCTGTAACAGGGAAATATCCTTGATCAACTCCCAGCTTTTCTCCTGGTTGACATGAGTGCTCTTACATGCTCTGAAAGGATGTGTGTGTGTGCACAAACATCTTCACAGTTATCCAACTACGGGAGCAAATTATTTGCACAGTTTTCCAAAGAACCCGCAGAGGACTGCAGTTCCTCCCAAGACAGCAGGCCGGCTGGTGTTTGTGTTCCGTTGATACAGAACTGGAGCACAGCCGTAGTCAAACCTTGCAAAATGTTCCGAAGCTAACATTAATATTTCATTGAATAACACCAGATGGGTGTTTTCATCTCCTGCAACATTTCTAGCAATAGCTTCATTGTGATTTAAAACAAATTTTTGTGTCTTCGTTTTGTTTTTTGAGGTTCCTTTGTTGTATTTCCCAATTATTCTACAGCTCTGTGACCTCCATTCTCACTATGTGTTGTCAGCTCAGTCTCTCTTTCAGAACTGAACTATGACTGGAATTCCTGTTCCGGCGCAAATTGAAAGGAGTCTTTCCAGAAGAATAAAGTAAGTGCATTTTTTTCAGTACTTACAGAGATGGAAACAGAGAAATTGGTTTTGAGAGCTCTGAAGCAGGCCATGGCTCACACAAGAAGCAGATGCACTGAGGAGATGACTGCAAATGGCAAAGAAACCAGAATGTCCAGAGGAGCTGTGAGGCCATGCTCCTCAGATCATCTGGGGCAGGAGCTGCCAGGGACCATCTGCATCATCTGCTGTAGAAATGCACATGGAAAGGGAGGACCAAAGGAAAAAAAAAACACACCCTGTTTTGCACAGGGATGATAATTCAGACAGTAGGCGAAGAACATACTCATTTTCCTGCTCTAAAATGAAGCAGGGCGAGAAGAAAACAGTTCTTTTCAAAACAAGGAACAAGGGCTGGCAAGCAGCTCCAAAATGTGTGGGCTGCTAGTTGTGTGGATATTGATGCTATTTGTTATATCACAATTACATGTATAGACCAGGTAGTCATTATGCTGGAAAAAATAATCACCTACAAGACAATGTGCCGGCCTGTTCTCTCACAATTGAAAATATTATTTTTTTTTGTGCCATGGGACTGAGACCTTTGTCCTTGCTCCTTGTGCTGCCCCTGTTTGTCTGAGTGACACATCGCTTTCGGTGATAGCATCTGTAAGGGGTGGTGCAAGTAACCTGGGGTGGATGACTTTCTTATTCTCAGAGCCTTCCTCTTTGCAGCTGGGAGGCAGGAATGCTCTTCTTGTTACAGAATTGTTTGTAGTCACTTAGGTTTTACTTGGTTCTTCCAGAGTTACTCTCCAGCCTCACCAGCACCAATATACCACAGTGTGAGCAATGCAACTTGAAAGAGAGAAGGAAGACCAGCTGTATCCTGCAAGGAAGTGTGAGTACAAAAGGAAACCATGAGCAAACAGTGCTGGCAACATGTGAGCTGCTCTCATTCTTTTCCCTAGGACCTCATGACTGCAAACTTCAATACCGAGAAGCTTATTTCAACAGTATGTGCTCTTCCCTCTCATTCCTTCCCCCCATCATTTCAAACAAAACAATTCCTGTTGTTATCTGCATTGGAGCCAGCATTAGAGAAGAAAACATTCACACGAGCATCAGTTTAGGAAGCTCTGTGGCTAGATAAAATACAGTGGAGCTCCTACTGTAGCTTTTTTTTGTGATGCAGCACATCTGAATATCTTTTCCAGTTTCTGGTATCCACAAAAGGTAAGAATGTAGTATCACTGAGTTCTCTACCCTCCACCAACTTTGGCTGAAGTATTATTCTCCCCAAAACAAGGAAAGGGAACAGGTTAAGGATGGGCTAGGCTCACCAACTTTTAGTACCTAGAGAACTCCAAAAAAGTCAAGCTTATCCTAACTAACCTACTGTCAGTGCTCTTTTTCAGGCAAAGTTCTCAGTAGATATTTCTCCTACAACAGGACTTCAGAGTTTGGTGCACTATTTTTGAACTTCCTATGAAAATTGGTTTTCCCATCCCCCTAACCTGTTTAGCTATTGTACGGCTCTAGTTGTTTTCACAAGATTTGTTTCACAGACTGAAGTGCAAGTAGCAAACAGTGATACAAGTAGGATGATCTCTTGACTTCACTCCATCTTCAGTTTGACAGTGGCTGAGATGATAGCAAACATTAGAGTAAACAAAACAGTAAATCTCTCTCAGCTTTTAGACAGGTTCTCATCTATTGATAAATCTACATAATCTTCCTTGCTCTAGGCAGCAATCAAGGCATTGCAGACATACCCTCATAAAACCTCAGAAGGAAAAGATTTCTCAAGGCCTGTACTGCAATAATTCAAAGTAGTTTTACTGCAGCCTTCATCAAGGCATCTTTTCTTTTACATGTGTAAAGAAAAGAAAAAAAAAAAGAAATCTGTAATTTAGGAAGTCAAGTTTTTATTAAATAAATACTTTATAAAGGAAAACAATGTTAACTATGCAGAAAATTATATTTTCAATCTAACATCTGGTCTTGCTAAAATAGCAATTGAAACATAGCTCAAACAAAATCCTAAAAGAGAAATAGTGCCCTAACAGAGAAAGCCAAGTAATTCCCTAAGTCTATGAAATTAGAGACAGGAACCTCAGCTGATGCATTCAAACACAACATCTCGTCTTCCAGGAATTTATTATTGTTCCAAGAGCCTATAAAAACTTACATCAATGAATCCACTGAGTCAAATTCTAAGTTAACTTTAGCCTCAGTTATACTCAGCTCAGTAGAGCAATGTTGATTTACTTCAAATGAGGGCTTACATATAGCAAGTTGAAATATATCCCTTGGTATAAAGCAAGCAAATATACAAATTTGTAAGTAGAGAGAAGAAACTCATATCTGGACAGCTTTTAGCCCCTTAAAAAAACAAACAAACAAATAAACAAACAAAAAAACCCCACCTAGACTAACCCTACAACTTGTTATGCATCTGCTGCACTAGAAGGGGTATCTAAGTTAAAAACCAACAATCTGAGCATGGAGAGCATTGCTTGCAAGATGAAAGAAATGTAACAGAGGCACTGAAAAAAGGAAGAAGCCAAGATGTGACAGTTACTAAGCAGAGCAAGCTTTGCTCAGCTGTCAATGTTTTTCCTCACGCTATGGTGGTTTGAATCATTTTGCAGTAAGCACTGACTTTAAAATAGAGATTACTGTAAATGAACAGACAACTGAGATTAAACACAAATTGGATGCAAGGTCTGCACGAGCCACATTCACCTTGTACTTCTATAGAGTAGAGAGCATATTTTATCTTAGCACTAACTGCAAGGTGGGAACTTGGCATAATATTAGCTCCAGGGTAAATCATGATAAATTCACCCCATATCCATTTCTCTGTGAGAAAAGTTCCTATTGCCCTCGGTGTTCATGACCAGGGCACCAATATCAAGGATCCCTTGCCATCTTTCTCTCCCTTTTACAGTTATGAAAAAAAGATTCACTACTTGTGTAAACTGCTTTTTTTTTTTTTTTTTTTTTTTTTTTTTTTTTTTTTCCCAGTGAACTAAATGTTAGCTGCTTCAGGTACCACTTAGAGCAGATTAAATCTCTGAAATTAATCAGTAATGAAGTGATTCCCAATGACATCATGATAAGTTTTAAAGTTAAAAGCCCAATATGCTATCAAAACAGCTGGATTTCACAGAACAGAAGATTCTTGCCCACTATACATGCAAAAGCTGCATTTCTTGTGGCCTTTCTCCTTATCCTGTGACCTCCTTATCCTGACACATACAACAACTGAAGATGTTTTGTGGGGTACCAGATTCATTTATCCAATTTTCCCAGCTCTTCCTGGAACCTCCGTGCTTCCTCCCACCAAACCTTTTTTACACATTGAGTCTGAGAAGTGCTGCAGAACTGCAGTCTGGCATTACAGGATGGTCAGGAATTACACTCACTGTACTCCCACATTTTTCATGACCCTAATCCATCTGTATTGTATCTTACACACATATGGTGGGACTGGGAGGCACAGTTGATTGACAGAGTTGTACTAAACCACCATTCTGTGAGGGAGAAAACACCACAGTGATAGTTTTCTTCCAGCTATTTATTTTATCCAGCAAATACTATGTTTCCTTGCTTTTAAAAGTTGTTTTATGGAGAACATGTGGTTTGTGGTTTCCACTTCCATGCTAAAGCATAGCATTTGTGCTGCACATCTGTCTCCTAAAAATTGCTTTTAAGAACCAACTTAGAACTGTAAATGAATTCCGTCAGCTTACCCCTTTCCCTGCTCCAGTGTCTGGCATAGTAGCCAAGTGGCAGTGCCGTACAGTGTGTGCAGGTAAGTGGTGACCAACTGGAAAATTGCAAAAGTTAACTCTAAGACAGATTGTGGGAGAGATAAATAAGATTTCTAGCAGATGAAAGCTTTCATACTTGCCATTATAGCAGGTATAAAGCTCACAGATCACTACAGCAGATAAACTTGTTTCAGCTGTCAATAACAACCTTTGAAGAAAGATGCTTACAACCCCTGGGAAAAAGTGAGGGTGCTCTATGACCTTTTGCAAGTCTGATTTATTAACATCCAACTAAATTGGTTACAGAGACAAAGAAGTAAATCAAATTGCACGTCAAGGTGCTCCAACAGTATTACAAATTTTTGCAGTAAGGAATGCAGAAAACAGGAGTGATCCTGACTACAGCAGTTTTTCTCAAAAATCTGAAAGTCAGTGATAATTCTAACACGATACCCTTCTTCATCCTGAAATCACTAATGCCCTATCAAAACAAACAACAATTTCAACATTTAGCAGCTTTGCATATGTAATACCTCATACACGTGGCGTGTTTTCCAACACCGAAACTAGTAAAACACTCAACATAAATACAAGACTGCCTGATTCTCAGGTGTACCAAATATTCTCATAGACGCCTCGAAGATACGGAGCTCAAGGAGCTCATCATCTCATGTGGATCAATCTCCAAAACATTCCCGTAAGCTTTAATACAGTTTTGTTTTGTACAACAGTAACACCATATCAACAATTTCCATTAAAAAAACACACCACCTATTTATTTTTTTAACATACAGCGACTATTTATGTGGAAATTTTTTCTTATTGCTTTCAAAAGCTGCAGCAAGAACAGTACCTAAGAACTGAGCAGTTCAATAATATATTTGGTGATAAGTTACAGTTACTAAACTTCAATAGATAAGCCAGATAACATTTGCAATTTCTTAACAACTCACAGCTGCTGGAGTAAGTTGCACCCACCAGTAGCTAGAAAATAGAAAGGATGAGTTAGTAAACACTGGGAAATTGATTTATAGTAGGCAAAAATCCATGAATGAAAACAGTACCAAAAGAACCTTTCATTTTAGCTTCATTCTTTTGAATAGGACCATCCAACTCTTGCAAGATGCATTCAGTTATGTGGAGAAATTGGGGTTTCATCCTTCGCTATTTTATCTGCATGGTAGGCCAGGTTTTGTACTCTTCAGCTTGCCTCCATCCCCCTCCCCGTTGTATGAGTAATGTACAAAAAAAGCTGTATTGAACAAAATAAGATACACTGAAAATGTCCTGCTCTGCAAAGCTGATCATCTAGAGACACAATAGAACAGATTTATACAAAGCAGATGCGAGAATGTTAATGAGGAATATGCTGAGCAGCTGTAGCTGGATATTTCTGCAGCACCCTTACCGGGCTGTGGTCTGGCTCCAGAGTACAACTGTGACAAAGTCAAGGAAAATGTACAGAAATAGACCATGATGTTTGTGGAAGAAATTTGTAACTGCAGCTTTTAGGCATGTTTTGTCATTTGAAATCCTGTTAGGGTGGGATGTTTTACTATTCTTTGGGATTTATTTATTTTTTAATAAAGAGAAAATGGGACACTGAATAAGGACTTTAAGATACGAGGGGGCCACACAGAAAGCCTAACAGCACTGTAAACAGTTGAGTGAAACTGGGGGGCCGGGTCTTCATTTATTTAAGACCAGCTTTGAACCTTTGTCCAACCTCAAAGCTGTCCCTGGCTGGATGTTCTGGCCCCGTGAATTTGTGTTCCTCTCTGTCCAGTGGTCTGGCTTCAACAGCCTGACACTCTTCAGGGACAGTTTAATCAGTAAAGTGCCAAAAAATAAGGTGACCGAGTTTGCAACCACCAAGACCAAGTTTGTTTTCATACTGACTTGCCACCTCCTCCAGGGGCCAGGTTTTAACAGAAGCCAGCAACCCAGCTTCAGGTCTTTCAAATAAGGACCAGCTGATTTTCTAGGCTCTGTATGAAGAACCTAAGTACTTGACTGGATCTGTATTTCAAAAACTACCCAAAAAGGTTGACAGATGTTGGCAAACTAACACATAAAGCATAAATCTGAGAGCAAATATTAGAAAAGGGATGCAATGAGTATTGGTGCAGTCTAGTTCCACTCAGTCTAAACAGCATTTCATCCTCCCAAGAGTAGCGTCCTAAACAAGTTACCCTGTTGTTTCATAACACCAAATCTCTGCACCAAAATCAGAACCTCAGTGTCAAATCTGAAAATTTGAGAATACAGCTGTGGGTTTCTATTTCTATGATTACTATTTCCTCGGGCTTTTTTTTAATTTTTTTTTTTTCCTCTCTCTTTGCTGATTTGAAAACTAAGTAGTGGTTTAACACCCAAAGGCGTGAGCTGCTCCATCCCCTTGACGTAAATTTATAGTAAGCTTTTCACTTTGTGAAGGGGTACAGGAGGGAAGGGAGAGCTCGATGAGTGGTGCTCAAACTGCCTCCCCAAATCACATTAAGTAATGTTTACAAAGTCATCAAGTAAGAGTGCTAAAACAGCAGGCAATGGTCAACAGGAAATTCTAGGACTGATCCACTGAGCTGAACAGTTTGGGAGTCACTGCTGCGCATGAAAGGATGCAGTAAGTTGCTTGCTATTTTCTTTCTAGTACTCAGGGTAGAAAGGCTCTAAATGTCAGTCACTAAAAACAACATATGTCTTAGTATATTGCAGAAAGCTAATGTAAGTTAGGCACTCTAACACAGCTGAAGTTTTTGGAAAACAATTACTAAAATGTCATTATTTTACCAAGAATAACTATAGATTGTATTAAGGTTTGTGAATGATGAATATATATTATATAAATATATATTTATAGAAATACACAAGTAACAGAGACATTTTTCTTCCACTTCTTAATATACAGTTGTCAGAAGCTTAACAACTACACCAACTGCTTCGCACAAAGGTAAGCAGGGACAACTATATTGTAGTTGGAAATGTGGGGTCAGAGGATCATTTGCAACTGGTTACACCAGGTTTTCAGATGCGTATCACAGATTTACAAAAGGAGTTCTTCTGAAACAATTTCCCTTTGTTTATCTAAAAAATGCACCAGGCTCTTTGTGGGCATTATTTTACAGAGGAAGATAGTAAAATTCTGAGTTTTGCCTTCCTGCTACGGGAATTTTGTCAAAGGAAACAATTTTCTATAAGGCACTTCCCAGCCCAATTCTCCCTGTCATTAAGTAAATGTCTTTTAGACATTTTGGATTGGAAGATACAAGACAACAGCACCAGTCTGACTTCTCAAAAATCATGACTCAAACACCCCAAATTAAATGAGTTTTTGTTTAACACCCACAGATTTTAATGCATTACGGTTCTTTATCTCTCTTGTTGCCTCTATTCCTTAAATTTTGAAAGCTATCAACTATTAGCTCATATGACATAGTAGGGGAAAATCCACTCCATATGTAGAAAATTCAAAACCAGCAATCAGATCAGACAATAATCACAATAGCTGCCAAATATGACAATGAGCAAATTTAATGTATCCTCCATAAATTTTACTCCCTTTCTTAAAAGCTTTTTTTTTTTTCCCCTTTCTCCTACCTCCTTTGTTGTTAAATGTGTGTAATTTTTCATACAAATGGTAATTACCAGCAACAAGGATAATTACAAATATCCACTCATTTCTGTGCCAAGTTTTAATAATACAAGAGTAAAACAGAAAGGCTCAAGCCATGAAGAGAGTCTCATTTTCCTTGAAAAGCCAAACAGTCCCCAGAGGTTAAGATTTCCTTCAGAATCAAAGCATGGGTTTTATTTTCATACTGACTTGAACCTTGCCTTGCTGTAAGCTGCTGGAGTGCTAGCTGAATCTTTAAAAGACACATTAAACAGAGAGTTATGCTAACATTTTTGGTAATAAATTACAGAAACGATAGTGAACCAGAGTTCCTGGGCCAAGTGAATAATGGCGAAGAAGCATTTGATTGTAAGACAATGAAGCATCAAGGTAACAGGAAACAAAATTTAAATATACATCCAAACTGATACCATGGATTTGGTTTAAAATGGAAGTTTTTGTAGTACTTCCTTCATTACATATATTACATGGATCTGCTTTAATGGGTTTTCTTTAGAACAATGCTGTAAGATGTAAAAAAAGTAAAAAAAAAAAAAAAAAAAAAAAAAAAAAAAGGAAAGGAAAAAAAGTAAGCTTTTCTAAGGTACCAGTCCTTCTAAGAGCAACCTTTATGCATGTATTGTCCATTTGTTCCAGTCATAAGCCAGGTAAACATGCCAACAACATTTATCATAGATAGGGTGTATTTTCTATTGTAGAAGTGGCATGTAAGAAAAAAATGAGGGTTGTGGTGGATATAGATCTAAACTTGAAAAGTGTTTTCTTGCCAGAGAGTCACAGACACACAGAACAGACTTGAAGAATGAGTCGGGCTTGAGCTGCAGATAGGCAGGAGTGCAATTAGTTCACGAGCACTGCGATTTCATGGAAAAAAAAATAAATAAAATTGCCCATCACTATAATCTTCATTCAAAAGTGCTAATTCTGCTACATTTGTTTCCTGGTATATTTTGACCTATGGTTTCATACTCTTGCAAATCTATCCAAATGTATAAAATTACAGGAAAGAGAAGCAATTGATTTAGTGCAAGACACTTAATATTTATCTGAACATAACAAACAAACAGAGGAAGATCAACAATTCCATACATTTCTCCATAAGGCAGATGGTCATTTTTTAAATATAAGATCTTAAATATGTTGTTTATTTTTGAAGAGGTAGAAAATATCAAAATACTAAGAAAAAAATACTAGATTAAAACAATCAGTTTGCTTACTTTTTAAAAAGACTTTCTGTTGCAATTTTTAGGTTAATAAAAACAAATGAAGCTATGGAAGCACAGGATTTTGTGCTCTGTATACACATTACTTACTGGAAAAAGAGAGAGCTGCTTCATCTAGTCAGTGCTCAACCATTATATACAAAAGATCTCCTCCTCTTGCCCTGTTGGGGGCTATAAATCTGAAGATTCCCAGTGGAAAATGTTGGCGATTCCTGAATTTCTAGCACTGCATTTAGCCAGGTACACTTATACAGCCATCAATCCACTGAAGTAAGCTCAGAACTACTGCTTCCATAACGCTAGTAAGAAAGCTAATAGAAACCAAAGCTTATTTGAATCTTTTCCACAGGCAGCAAGGGATCGTGCTCAGATTTCAGCACCAACTGATAATGCATTTTTAGGAATTTAGACCAGCCCAGAGACAGCTGAACTACTCATTGAACTGTGGAAGCCTACTTAGAGTTTGAGTTACTAAGGCTTACGCTCATTTCTCAGCACAGCTAGGAGAAGCCAATGCTACTGTCTCCAAAGCAACTCAATAAGGCATAAGTTAACGCAGAACTGACATTACCAACACACCTTGGAAAAGTAGTGTAAAAGCTCCTCTTTTCCCTCTAGTTGTTAACATTCAGTGCTATTTATTAAATATTTTATAAAAAGAAGTTAGGGTATTTATACATTCAAACAATCATTGCAATAGAGTAGAGAAAACAAATGAATTATCATATCCTAAAGTAAGCACAATTCTGGAGATATGCACACTTGCACACATACAACCCCCACACACATATATTATATGTGTGTGTGTAGAGATATATATATATATATACACATATATTTATATATACTTCTTTGAAATAAGATCCAAGAAAACAGCACAGAACATCTTCACTTGGCTCCTCTTTCACCAGAGGACAGGATTGTCCAGTTTGGAAAAACCAGGTTCTTTTCTAAGGTCCATGTAGGTTCCATTGCTCACCCAGGAGTCATCTTTGGATTTCCTAACAAAGATTAAACAGTTGATTATTTTTTTTTTTTTATGTAAGGCTTGTATTTTCTAGATTCGTTGTGTGGTATAAAGTAGAGGGTTGCACAGATACCCAATCCAGCCCACAAACCAGGTGCAATGAAACTCAGTACAGCATTCAACATAAATCAGAGCTTGTCATTTGTTGGAGGGAGAAATCTACATTGAAAAGCAAAATGCGTGTTTCATATCTAACCTAACATTTGGTAACACTTTTGCTATATAGTAATTAATTTTTTTATTCTGTCATTTAAACCTACAGCACAAATCTCAATTTTTCAAATCCTCATTTTAAGGATTCAAATCCTCATCCTTATTTACAATCCTCATTGTGAAGATACAACATAGTATTAGACACTGCTTTTCTCCTGTCTATTTAGCCTGCTGGAAGTAAAGTTTGCTTTTCTGTAGTTAGCTCACCAGTTCCTCAGACAGGCACTGGCCTAAGCCATTTCCTCTTTGCATCTATTTTAAACCTGTGTTCCTCCAATTCTTACTCCTCCTAAGTACTGTATCTATCCAGAAAACAATCAGGATCCCAGATCCTAATTATATTATTATAACTATTATAACTAATTATATATCATAACTATGATACACAAGCCCATAAAACATTCACCTTGGGTCTAACTCTTTCACTGCATCCTCGACAGAGAAGCTGGAGGCCAAAAGGCCACATCCTCACTAGCATTCATTTTTGTCTTTCAGTAGCTGAAGTCCCCTGTTAATTGATTTGTAACAGGAAGAAACAAAGTGCTCTCTAAATCACAATTATCTTGCCATTAAATGGGGGAAACTTTCTCAAAAACATCCCTCAATATGAAAGGCTTCACCTCTGCACACTGCTGCACAAGGCAATCCCACTGAATTCAGCAGGAGTTCAGCAGAGATAATTAAGCTAAAATGACCTATGTCACCTTGCTTGAAAGAATCAAAGGTGCTATGTTTACTCCTCAGGCAAATTCAAACTTGGACCAAATACCATTCACCATCAAGAAAAAAAGCAAAATCAAACCAAAACAAAAAAAACACCACCAACAACAAAGAAAGAATTTAGAAGAAACCTGGGAAAACTGGAGAATGATTTATGGTAATTTAGAACTAGATTTATAATAAACATTTATTGAAATGATGTTATATGCTAATTATTGTATAGTACCTGAAAAATCTAGGCTGATGCTCTAAATTGTTTTCTTCCAGCACCTTCCGTCGTTCTCTCTGTAGTTGCTCAATTCTCTGTTTTTGCATTTCAGCTCCTTCAATATTCCCTTCTTCTAGAAACCTGTAGGAGCAGCAATGATAAAAGACATAGTTGGTGCTTCTGTCCCCATCTTTGTCAAGTCCTCTAGAGCTCCAGAATCTAATCCTTACAGCAGGTGGTTCACAGTGTTTGAAAGGTAAAAAACTACATCTGCAGACAACTACCTTAGCAAAATGCACCAAAGGAAAAGTAATTCTCACATTAAGTTCAAAGTAATCTTTATATTAGAACCTTTTCATTGGAAGATAGCAATAGTAGAAATTCCACTGCAAAAAGCAAATTCAAGTGTTTCAGCTTCTGGCTATTCAAACACAGTATGCCTAACAACAGAAGTTTTAAAACCACCGTTGAAAAAGCAATTATCTAGAAACTGAAGCATCCAAAATCATTTCCAGAAAACACTGGTCCATAATGACTAGACCGTCTCTTGTTAACTGATTAAAATGTCTGTTTCAGATGCAGAAGTGATGTAAAAATGGAAGCACACTGCAGTTACCTATATAAAGTAGACACCTGAGCTCAGGGGTAAAATTAGTTTACAGAAGATTAAAACTACTTGAGGAAGATACATATGAGGGAAACTTCTTACCTTTGGTCTGGCCTAAAACGTGTATCAGTGGATGGAAGTAATGACCTAGTTTGCAGGTCCAGTTCATTTAACTCCAATGCAAACTGAGTAAATCCATACCACTGCTCATAGTCTTTAGGCATAGGATCTACAGAAAAAAAATACATAAAAGAGTACATTGAGAATTCCAATTGAAAGTGTCTATCTGTATAAGGACAATATCAAACTCCCCTCAGTCTTTTTTCTTTCTTATTTGTATCTCTGAAGCTGGTCTCAGTTTTGGAGGAATAAGAGGCATCTTTTATTGTAAGTTGAATCAGGGCACAAGTGTGATGAAACACATACTACAATCATAGCCCTTTTTCAAACAACAGTAGACAAAAACCCATGAGGTTTGGGAGAACTTCATGGCTCTTGTTACAGAGCTGAGCTATGTAGGCTATCCTCCAATGTTTAATACATGAATCACAATTCCGTACACAAAAACGTGGGGGGCGTTGTTGTTGTTTTGTTTGTTTGTTCTTCTTCCTTATAGAGTCCTGAATACCTCCTTTATAGCCAGATACGAAAATGAGGGAGAATGAGGAAAAGGCCGGAAGCCATGGGATTAAGATCTGAATATTACTTAAGTTAAATGATTTATTATTCTTCAGGTCTAAATTTTAAATGCTTGACAAAATTCTAATATTCTATATAGAAACAAAAAGAAGTGGGGGCCTAATAAGTGAAAATAAACAGCAATTCTCAAGCAGACTTTAAGTTCTGTATGTTAACCATTCTGGTCACTAACTTGCTCTCCAAACACAGTTCGAAGATGAAGTCGTCCCACAGTATAAACTTTCATGCCACTTCCCAAAGAGCCGATGCACAACTTTCCCAGTTTTATCCATGACACTGCCTTCAATCTCGTGTACATTTGGATTCCAATACTTTGCCTAGAATCAAAAGGAACAGGAGGAAAAAGGTGCGTGAGAGGTCAAGCGCAATATTGGCGTGATATTGCCATGCTGTAGAGTGTTTTTCTGAAATGGAAATTATTCATTGATATGTGCATTACAATATCATGCACAAAGAACTGCTGTTAGTATTATGAATTAGCTAATTAAAATACTACTATTGACAATTGTATCTATTCTGTCTGTTTTTTTAAGGGCAGCACTAGGTGAAGCAGAGCTGACTTCATTTTGTCCAATGATAGGTAACACTGATTTCTGACATAGTTATTGACGTCCTCCCTAGATTTGTAGAACAGAAAAAGAAAACACTGTTACTCACAGTGATCTCCACCACTGTTACTCACAGTGATCTCCACTTTTGCCTATTTATAATATCAAAGGTATGAAACTTGCAGTCTCTCAATCTAAAATGTGAACTCCAAACATCTGTTGCAGCTCTGCAAATACATTACAGTGCTTTCAATTACGTACCTAAATGCCTCACTTTAATGCTTCTTAGAAAGCACATAGTATTCAGAAGTAGGAAAAGGAAAATGATGATACTTTCCTTCTGGTGCGCATTGGTATGCTGAAGTGCTTAGAGACAAGCCATGCAGACAGGAGCTATGAAAAGCACAGCCTTGCTCCCGCAATTAGAATCAGAAAACTCAGGTTAAGGTAAGACTACTATTATGCTGTGCAAAATTTCTAAGGTTAGAAATTTTAGCATTATTTTAGGTTTTAAATTGATTTTCTCTTTCTAGGAAGAAAGCATCTACTGCTATAACCTAATTTTTATTTCAGTTATGAGGGCATTTCTTTAGGAAGTTATATACTTCAGCCTTGTACTGAAGCAAAAGTTTTGAAAAACAGCACAAGACCTCACTTAAGCTCTTCCACCTATCTGCACAAGGCTACAGAAGTGCATTGTTTGAAATACCCTGCGTGAACTCTGGTTCTACAGCTGCTGGATGAATGCAACCACAGCGCAGGACAATGGCTTAGCAGGATCCGTGCAGTAAACACCTTGTGCCTACCTCTCCTGTCAAACACAGACTAGGTTTTTTATGATATTTCTTCCTTTCCCATCCTCATACTTTTTTTCTGCATCTCAGCTAGAATCACCTGAGATTTTTTTTTTTTCTCTTGCCTTGCTCTACCTATCGAGCTGCAGTTCATTTAGAGTTCACATTTCTCAGAGAATCACAGGTAATTACAGAACTATAGGAAAACAGAGTGTAAGCAGTTGTACTGGGTTTCAGCAGACAGCATCCACCCCCTGTGGATGCTAGAAAGGGCACTGCCAAAATTGCTGCAGTTCCTGAGTCACCTTTACAAAAGTCAGTTTGCAGTAACAAGTGTCATCGTTAAGATTTTTGATGATGATCTCTCCGTAGTGTTCAATCCATCTTTGTCCACTTAAGATGTTATGGATGCAAGATGTCACCTTGTTCCATGCAAAGTGGTCTTTAAAACTGTAAGAAAATACATACAGGAGAAGTCTCACACCATGTTTAAACTAGCTTACAAACTTTTGAAAAAAAATGCAGAGAACTCAATTAGAAAAAAAAAAAAAGGTGAATTTAGAAATGATGAAATTAGAAGAAAAGGTGGAATGGAAATCTTTAGTTTTTAATAATGCCTTGGTCTTCTTGTCCCCATATATTCTTCCTTCTTTCACAAACCCCATGAAAACAATCCCGTCTCCCAGAATACCCTATTCACTTCTGCTATAAACTTTCAGTTTTCTCTCAGTTCTGCCATTTGTATGCAAATCTACATAAGATATCTTTCTCACAGGGATACAAACCAGCACATGGAGACAACATGTGAATCAGAAAATTTTCCAGTTCATCAGCCCACCATGGGTACTACTGTGGTAGTTACCTTGCTTCTGAACCTTCACTCACATCCTAAAGACCTCTCACTCCACAGCTTAATCTAGACACTATGAATAAGAGAGCACAACACGCTACCTTTTGAATACTATATTGGGCTATTTTTCTTTTTAATTTTTCCTTTTTTTTTTTTTTTAATAAGGAACAATAATTAAATATAGACTGTCTTTGGAAAACAGATATAACTGTAACACTATTCAACTTTTAGACCTCCGTTTCTGCAACCATGCTGGATATAGGCCAGAATTTTAACTGTTGATCTTTAACGGGCTCTTTGAGAAGCCAGCATAGGAACACTGCAGATTTTTCTTTTTTAAAAAATCAGACTATACTCAACACTTAACTATAGTTACTCCAACTGCCTTGGAAAATAAATATTAGATATGCTACTGGTGCTATTTATCACTTATAATAATTACTTAAGCAGTGAGGACAGCTATCAGCTTCAGCTATAGACCTAGACTCCATGGTGTTAGGGTCTCTATGAACACAGGCACAAATATAGCAACAACCCCTGAATTCATAGCTTCCTTTACCATGCAGGTTTTCTATGCAACTAAGCTTGAAATTCAACCAGAGTATGAAAATACCAACTTTGCCTTTTTAAAAACACACAAAAGTGTCCACTTTTATTTCATTTTATTTGGTTTGATAACTTTTGAAATAGTTAGAGATTCTGGTCTTTTTTTGTTTGTTTGTTTGTTTCCTTCTCTTTCTTTTTAAACTAAATCATAATCACCAGTTCTTCCAGAGGTCTCATATACACAGTATAGTTTGTCCTCATCTGGATAAATGCAGCTCCAGTGCATGTAAGCATGTGTGTATCTGTGTGCAAACAGCAATATGAGACTGAAGCACTTACGCTGGAAGAGTTACATGTGTTGTACCAACTGGAACAATTTCCATGGACTTTCCCCAGAATTTGTTTTTCCATCTTACATCTGAAACAGGAGGAAGAAAAAAAAAAAAAGAGGTTTAGTCAGAGGCATGGGTGAATCAACCTATATCTGGATTGTACTTTATTTTTAGGAAATTCAAAATAATGAAATGCAACATAATAAAGCGTTCAAAGTAATGCTATGGAACTTCTAAGAGCTGCAAGTTTTTTCACATTAGTGGTTTTTTAAATAGAAAAGCACCAGAGTTCTAAAAGTCATCTCTTAAGAACCTTTCAAAAGAGGGGAATTTGAATAAGCTATCAACAGTGTATGTTCATCTGTAATTCAGTTTCTACTGCAGACATTTCAAAAACCCAAGCCAGAATTTCTAATACAAGAATGTAACAACTAGCAACATCCATAGTGAAGAAGCAAGAGAATGCTACAAAGGGCAAAAAATTGGAGAGGGATTTAGTCCAACTTCCCCTGGAAGTTTAACTGGCCTTTTAAAATCTGGTCTGAATCAGAGAAAGAACTGTCCAATTCTCAAGTCATTTCCTCCAAAAAGAAGATGAGAAATCTCAATGCGAATTTATAAAATTTTCTTGAGGCAGTTGTTAAATTAGCAACTTATTTAATGTTGAAGTGAAATAAACATGGGCAGGGAAGCATGGCTGAAAGGGTATGGAGTTAAATTAGGCTAGATAATCAGGCAGTAACTTTGACAACTTCAGAGCTGAGTGGATAGTATTCTTGCTGTATTAGACGCTAGGATCCCCAATTCTGTTCGTGGAGCAATTTCAAAATGAGGGAATAATTCATCTCTAGTCTCAAAAAGATGATAGTACACTAAGTACTAACTTCCTGACTACTGCTTGCCATGCAATTGCTGGGGGGAACCTCTTGTGAGATAGATACTCAAACTGGAGTTGGGAGATTACCTGTTCCCAAGAATATGTGCATGTATTACAAGATCAAGCCACATCAAACTGCCTACCACTGCAAAAACTGGTATGGGACATGAGGAAGAATTTCTAATGGAAAAAACATTCCTTTTCTTACCACTTGAGAAAAGGACCTTCTTTTTTGTTTGTTTGTTTTGAAGGTTTACGTTGGATCAGTATCTCTAGTGACAGGAGTTCTGTCATGATTCCTACACTGCACAGTAAGAGGTTCAAAACTACCTTGACTTCATAGCTGAACTGAATTCTGCACTAGGTTTCTTTCTTCTGCACTGGGATGAAAGAAAAAGAGCAAAGACAGACCCTGCAGAGTTCAACAGTTAAAATGTATTGTCAGACTGTGTTCTACGGCCTCAGAAAGTCACACAGAGATCATTACATTGCAAACATCTTAGGATCCAGTGTGTAACTTCATCATGCAAAAATTTTAGGAGAGCTAAAATAAGCCAAGTGTTCTTTCAAAGCTGTGCTCAGACTAATTGAGGCACAGATACTGTAATAGCTGGAAGTTTCTATTCTGAATTTCCATTGTTCTTGTCCTTTCAAATAGGTTCTGCAAAAGTCGCTTTAGTTTCTTAAGTAAGGAAAAACAGTTTCTGAAATAACCACCACTGTCAGAACCCAGTCTTAACGGCTCGACAGATATGATCCAGAGATTTCTTGATGTTGAAAGAGGAACTAATGTCAGTGTCTGGTGGGATGACAGCACTGCTCTGGCAATGCAGCTGAGGGCTGTCTGCTTTCCAGCAGTGGGGATAGTATGCTAAGTGGAAAGATATTTGCACAGAAAGATCTTACCTCATTGACAAGCTACCTTTATGATTAACTTAATCTTTCCACACAAATTAATACAGCCCTCTAATAAGAAGCCACAGGATTTACAAACTGCCTTTGCATTGGAAATCATTGTCTAGATCTCCCTTAAGCTCAGCTAGCCATGCTTGAAAACAAAAGAAATCAAACAAACCAAAGGAGCCCAAACCCTGCTGTAGCCTGATTGAGTCTTCTGGGGTCATCAGGACCAAACCTCAGACTCTCTCTTACTGACCAGATTCTCAGCTCTTATCTTTACAGAAAAACTTTGTTCTGTACATGCACGTTACGATAGCCAAGCAACAGCAGTTTTCCAAAATCTGTTACATAAATCAATCTCTTCATTTTCTATTAAGACAGGATGTTTTCTAGTCTTGTATACAGAGTATTCAGGAAATGAATAAATGTTGGTCACCTCTGCTTTTCAGCTAAGAAGGATTCTTGTCCTGTATGTGTTTATAAAGCACGGAATTATGTTGAATAATGAAACCCAGACTAATGACAGAGTCCCAGTTTCTGTTCAATACAGCTGTATCCATAATAACTATAATCAAGTCAGCAGAGTCAATCATAACAGAATTAAGTGTCAGAATATGGCTACATAGTGAATTGACAAAACTCTGGGCAAAGGATTTGAACTGAGTTAAAAGGCACAGTTATGTTCTTTGTACACTCCAAAAATACCTAACAATACAGGTATTGTAACTGGCTGGCATCTTCACTAGACTTACAGAGCAAACAAAGCTCCAACACAGTATTTTTTGAAAGACTGAATGTTAGTAGTGAAACAGCATGAAATCTTCCATTCTGTAATAATACTAACAGAGAAAGACACAGAGAATATGTTTGTCCTTGCTGTTATGTGCGTTCCTGGAAATTATTTTCAGAACAGGATTACAAGATCTGTCAGGGCTCGGGATTTAACTTGTAGTTTTTCAAGCTCTACTCTAGCTTGTTTTTATAAATAGCTTGAGGTACAACTCTTCTCTAGTAAACAAACCTTCCACACATAAAAAAAAAAAAAAAGAGAGAAAAATATTTCAGCAGATTTTGAATAAATGCAGTTACTTGTACATGAAAGGAATGATCAATAATGTTATAAAATACTTGTAGATTTTTGTAATGGCAGAAAACACAAATAAGAAGCATGGCAGTAAGGCTAGGATTTCTTAAAGCCATTCTGATATGATATAAAAAGGGAAATTAACCTTTTCCCCATTTCAGAATATTTCATGTTAGGCACACAATGAAACTACTATGAAGGCTGTAAAAGTAAATGATAGACGAAAAGGTTACCTTGCCAAAAAGCAAAATTCACAGATTCAGCATGGCATGCAGAAATAGGTGGATGGTGACTGACCTAATAGCAAGACATGAAAGGGGAAAAAAAGATGGACATGTTAACACTTGAATAGTCGTGGGTTTTTTTGTTTATTTTTTTCCCTTTTTCCCTCTCATTTTTCATTCATATATCACATTTACAATCTGAACGTTTGCTTTTCTTTTGCAGTTCTTTCCTAAAGGGGGAGCCAATGAGACTAGTAAGGTACTGAGACCTGAGAAAACTAGAAAGAAATGGGAAGCACGCTTTAGAAGGCCTGTGAATCTGTTCATCAAATGAAAATCTAACTATATATTCTGCACATTGTCTCTAATGTGATAATTACAGTTAATCCGAAGGCTCCATTCATATATTAACAGAAGCTGCACTTTAAGAACATAGGAAAAAGTAAAAAATACCAACCAAACAAAAAACAAGAGGCTAAATTATTCTGTACAGTAAATACCTACAGATCACTCAGTGTGAGGCAGGAGACAGCAATCAGTATCACTGAAGGGGGGCCAAACGGGTGGAGAAATACAACCATGAAATTCCAGCTACCAACAGCCACCTACTACTGCACTCGTGAGACCTCAGGTTTTTCTTGTATGAAACTCTAACCACACGCACTGCATTTTATCAGCATTGGGTAAAAGCACATACATGAACTGGAGCAATGACCGAAACAGCAAAGTGAGGACTGTACGTAAATAAATACTCAATGCATACTATTAAAAGAAAATAGTAAATAAAAAGGTGATTGCACAGGTGTGCAAAGGTGATTGCACAAAGCAAAAGCAACCACTCCTCCTCAGCTGTACCTTCTCCATTTTGGGTGACCAGGACTTAAAACTGACCAAGCCAAATACTCTGATGTATAATATTGTTCTTTGACAAAAACACCTTTATTTTCAAGTCTAGTTGCTTTCCTACTACACATTTCATTTCCTAACCACATACATGTTTCAAATGCAGTTTTAATTTCTTCGTTGCTCATTTTGCAAATTTGTTACTGAGCTCTTCCTTCCTTCCTTCCTTCCTTCCTTCCTTCCTTCCTTCCTTCCTTCCTTCCTTCCTTCCTTCCTTCCTTCCTTCCTTCCTTCCTTCCTTCCTTCTTTCCTCCCTCCCTCCCTCCCTCCCTCCTTTCCATTCAGTTCTTCACTGAACAACCTCTACTTGGTTAAAAAAATAAAGCAGTGCTAATTCCTGTCAGCCATGGCCTAATCCACCGGGAGCAACACTCTCTCTCTCACATACTGCACCCAGATTAACCCCAGATGTCACTATAATTCCTGGGTTAAACTTAGCTCTCACTTAAACTGTTATAATTCCAGAGTAAGGTCATGGAGCTAAGTAGAGCTATTATGAACACACTCTAGTCATGCAACAGAATCTCTGTCATTTTATACATTTTGCATATCTACCCCATGGATTGCACACTGTCCGTGCTAACAAGTTATCTACAGTAAGCATCAAAAGGCTTGCACAAACAAGCAACAGCTCCTGATGGAAAAAGATTTATTTAATGCTTGCAAGCTCTATGGAATTTCTTTCTTCCTACACCACCTTCCCTTCCTAATATTCCTCAACACTACACTAGTATACTAAAACTTTACCATCTATAAACTCTTGTCACTTATTACACACAGTTATAGAACAGTTACTAACAACTTAAGAATCCTCCTGTTTTAAAATTCTCCTTCAGTAAAAGCTGCCTTGTATTGATTCGTCCAGTATCAAGGGGAAAAACTTCTCAATTCAAACTCACATTAAACTCAGTATCAAACTTTTATTAACCACTTTGCTACTCCAATTTGATGTTACACTGGTACCTTCAGTGTGCTATATGTTACCTTAGAACTAAATACAATAAAGCAACAGACACATTGCTTGAACTTTAATTCGATTCTCGCTTTGACTGCTTTGTTTTTTCCCTTATTTTTCTCTTGCCCATGATACTTCCTGAGACCAAGGAAAGATCACAGAGCATTCCTTTTTGTCAGCTGTAGAACATGGTGTACAAAATGTGTCAAAACCACAAGCTTCTTTTAAGACTTTTTCTGATCAAGTTTCTAGGTTGTACAGCTTTGACTACCACACTTCTGTATTTTTTGTTGTTGTTGTTATGTCTAGACAAAACAAGACAGCTTTCAATCATTCTTACACCCTGATAGGCACCGGAATATTTAAGTTTTATCTCTTTTTAACATATGCCTCAAGCTTAGCAATTTTGGTAACTCAACTGGTTTAAATTTAATATTTTTTGCCCACGCTTAATAATTACTCGTCTATTGAAGCACTATTTTCAGCAACAGTCAGACCTTGATGTGTTGTATACGTTCTTCAGCTACTAAGCTGTGGTACTAGGCTCAGCCCACTAAATATTTGGACAGCAAGGAGAAATATTCAAGGTGCCATAAAAAATACTAGTGGTTGACTGACTCATATGAGTGTAATATTTGTCATTAAAAAAGACATTAAACAGCTGAAAATACAGTATTTTTAATGATCACACAAAAGAACATGACAAGAACATGAAGGCTTGTTGCAGCAGTGATCAGACTTCAGTGTGGGGAACTGTACTCCCCTTAACCAAGATATCTAGGTGCTGGAGTAGACAAACTGCCAGCCTTTGCTTTCAACTGCCAGCTGTTGGTTGTCATGTTCCATGCCAGAGTTAGCTGAGTTTCCTCAAAAAACAAAGCAATTTCCTTCATTTATAATTCTGTAGGACCCCTTGAGATTTGCTGGGCTATGGTTAGGTAACAGTAATTTTACATTTTGCTATTAACTCTAAAGGATACCAGCCATGCACTCAGCATTAAGCAGCCTATCAAACAGCAAATGTAAGGGGTGCAGCACACAGTACCTGTTCCGCAAAGAACTGGAAACCCTTATCTTCACGAACACATTCATAGGTTTCTCCAAGAACAGGATTAAATGGCTTACTTCCAGCTCGGTAGTAACTGGAGGCATACGCAGATACTGCAAATGCAGCTATATACACCTGGGAATAACATACATGGAATTTTGGTTAATTTACCACAGTCATGCACATTTTTTGCTATAGATTGGGATTTAACAGAAGGAAAAAAGAGTATGAACGTGTATGCCTCCTCCTGCAGGTTAAACACTGGATCACACATAACAGAAGTATTCAGTTTTCAGTCATTCAGGGGTTCACTGATGCATGGAGTTACTAGGATCAAACTCTGCAAATTTAATCAACTGAAAGCAGTGTCTCTGAAAACTGTTTGAAACAACTCAGCCTTTTGGAACATGCACAGTTCAAAGCAGTAACTTTAAAAATCACTGTTAGATATTTTTTAAACTGGCTTTTACAGTTACAGTCTGTGATTCTATGGATCTACATGCCACCCTTGTCCTAAACATGGCACACGAAGCATTAAAAGAGTTTTCACAAAATTTATTATGTCCAACACAGTTTGAATTGCCTTTTATCTATTGTATGCTATTACCTAATAATGAAACTGCTCTTTATTACAATTAAGGAACAGGAGATCCTTCCAAATTATTACAGTCAACACAGTATAACTCCTCCCAAGCCTGAGGAATTAGAATTAGTTTTGTTCAATTCATGTCTCCTCTGTACCGTTTTTCTCCCTTTTCATTCCCTTTTCCTCATCTTGTGAAAGAGTAGATGCTTTCCTTTCACAATTTCAGAAACCAAATTGATAAAAGAGCCATTCTAAACTGAACTATGGCAATTACTGTGCAACAGCTAACATTAATTTTGCCTCAGGAATTTCTCAAAGGCAAAGAATACTTCATTCTGAGGCAATTTTCAGATGCTTAGTTGTAGGAAGGAGAGAAAGATTTCTTTTCACCCTGATGTGAAAAACTACTGCTCATTTCCTTTTAATGCATGTTCTCAGGAGAACAACAAAAAGGTTATGCACCTAAAAAACAAATAAACAGCCACACCCTCTATCCTGAGAAGAGAACAGACACTAAATTGTAATCCTTGCAGACTGTCAGAATGAAGTTTCTTTTCAAACAGTATTTATAACAAAACTATTTACATTCATTAATAGCCTCTTTTTAACATAAGATATATTGACTTGAAAAGGCTTGACTTAGTTTAAGGTATAATCCATAGCTTCCATTTAAGAGAATTTTGAAAGCTTTTAAATCTTTTATTTATAGGCCTTAAGAAAAGATTTATTGTAACTTTCATACTCATGAAAGAAACATATTAGCTCAATTCCTCCTTCTTTTTTCCAAGTTTAAATCTTGGAAGATTGAAAGAGTAAGAAAGGAAGAGGAAAAGCTGCAAAACAGAGTTAAACTAGTATGTTACTTAACCTTGCAGGACAGCAAGGCATTTAAGGAGATACGCTTTCTGACAAAACAACAGAAATTAGGCAGAAGAATCAAAAGTAGAGGGTATGTAAGCATGCCCAGGCACGCTTAAGGGGTTTGCTTCCCTCAGCTTGGAGAAAAAGAAAAATGGAACAGAATATCTTCATTTCTTTGGTAAATTGTTTATACATTGTATTCTATTCTGGCTATACTGAATGTTATGAAGTATGAGGAATAACGTGTTTACCATCCGTTCAAAGGGGTTAGGTGTATGCGCTGCTTTATCTAGTAGTTCACTGTATTCCAGCTCCTCGCAGAGACGCTGAAGGGTGTTAAGTGGCTCATTTAATTCAACAGGCATGGCCACTTTGGAGAGATCCTTTCCTATGTTATTTCTCAGGATATTCCATAGGCTGATATTACTAGTATTAGGGCATGGAGCTGGTAAACATGTTCTCCGTTTAGAATGGCATCCAATTCCACTTTCAGAAATACAGTCTGAAAAGGAAGTTGCAGAACAAGTTAATCAATACGTTGCTTACTTACTATTTAATCTCCATTGCAAACATACATTAAAATTCAACCAACTTTTTTTTTCTGTCAAAGCTTCCATCCACCCTCACACTTCATTCAAATATTTCATTTATGGTTTGAAGGTAGCCTGTTACGAAAGGATAAAGAAAGAACTCAATTTTAATTTCTGGAAGTTAACGAAGTTAAACTCCAGATAGGAAAGCAGCATAAAAAATTACTTCCTTACTCTTAAAGGATATGAGAAAGGCTCAGGCTTTCCATTGAATTTGAAAGAGTAAATATTAGAACTAACCTATTTGTAACAGAGATGGATTCCTATCTGTTTAAGTGACATAAAACCTCCTTCCCTGACAGAGCTTCAATTAAGTTGACACTTCTCAGAAGACAAGGTGTCACTTAACAGATCCAAGCATAAAAATATCACCTGTCTATCTCTTCCTACGTTTTTGAATACTTCTACCAAGGAAATTTACTATACCACGGATTTACATGCAGGCTTTTCTAGAGCACTTGTCACTGTAGTGAGCACTTAAAAAATTTAAGCCATGTTAGCTTGTAGATGCACCCATATGTTGGCGGAGAAATGACCTCTTTAGTAGGTGGTAAAACTGAAGCAACTGTGGTGCTCTAGGCTTGATAAAGATTCAAAAAAAAAAAAAAAAAGGATGCCTTGTCAAAGCAGTTAGAACAGAATAAATGGTTGCAAGTGTGCAACGAAATGAAATGATTTGTGTCACAATCAAGATAGAGCTACAAGCTTCTGCAACAGGCACTAGCCTGAAGATTACATTGCTTATCTGTACATAAATCTCAGTTCAGAAAGGAGCACAGTTGCCACTACATGAGCATCCTTTATACATCTTTAGAAGCTCCTAGGATGCTCCTGCACTACAGTCCATTGCCATTTGGAGACCTTTGGGTATAGCCCCAGACTACTAATCCCCATCCTCATCTGGCTTTCTGCAGACAGCTTTTCCTTGGAGGAATTGAAACAGCGTAGAAGAGCACAGCTTTCCTGTAGCATACCTGCCCAAAGAAACACTGCCCTTAAATGCATGATTTCAAACGTTATTTCCTTTGTTTTTGCATTGGCATAAGCACAAAACCAGCAGTGCTTCCAACAATGAAAAAGTACAGATTATCCCAAGCAACTAACGTCCCCTATCACTGATGTACATGTATATATTAGCCCAATGTCTCAGATAGAGGCTTTCATAATCACCAGCCTCAAAGAAGTTTCTGTCTTTCCTGCTACTCACAGAACTGCAAGTCCTAACAACTCATGTGACTAAGTTATTGTAACAAGGACAGGAGAAGTATTTACATACTGGTGCGTATCTCTTTCTTTTTGCATAAAAAGGATGTGGGCACTGTGAATCAGAAAATCTGCCTGAAGCGTAATGCTGCTAAGTGTGCCTTTTTAAAAAGAGGTTGGTTCCTATACTTACTTCCCTGTTGGAAGTATTTATTTAGTATCAGAAAAGGCCAAAAAGAAAGACGTTTCCTCACATAACTCAGGAATGACTGGATATCTGAAGAGGAAGGAGTAAGTGCTAAAAACATATTCCTGTTGAAGAGAGCTCTCTGAAATAGGATTTGGCTATATCCCTTGACAGTTTCTGATTAAAACCTGAATACCAACTCACTGAACTACACACTCTGGATCAGTCTATTAATTGGGGTAAATAGTGACAAAACACAGCAGAGAAAGAGAAAAAAATGTAAGTGTAGAAAAAAAAAAGATGTGAATAGTTCAAACATGCAGCAGGGGAGTTGAAACTTAACACTATTTATTCATCTGGGCACCTAAAAGGAGCTTTCTAGCCTGGTATTCCAACCATACTGCTCTCATTAATCTCCTTTAAGGCTGCTGGTGCATGCTCAGTGGTTAGATTAGGCAGATAGATTAGATGCCAAATTTTCTCTACAGTATAGTTTGCCCACCTCTCATGAAAAAAAAAAAAGCCCATGCTGCAAGTAAGAAACCACTATTCAGCATTATTGAAGATAAAACATTTTGATAGAGTGAAGAACATTGTGGCTAGATGACATGCTTTGAAGGCACAGAGCCAGAGTTTGTTATTACCAATTCCTCTTCCTCTTTCTTGATTCTCATTCTAATTAGCAAGACAGTTAAGTGTATGCAGTAACAAGCCTATCATAATTAAAACATACAAAGAAGAAATCCATACAGTCACGCACTGCCAGTGTATAATAATTGTCATGTTCCTTTAAACAAATTCTGCTAAAAACAACAGACCTCTGAATGTGGTTGTTAAATTGGAAAAAAATACTTTCTGGAAAAAAAGAAAGCAGCTAGGTCTTGGTAGTTTGAAAAATCCCGTGGACATGAAAGGAACTAAAAATGAGTTGGAGTCACACCAATGAAGCCAAGAAAACAGGTGTTTATCTACTGACATTGAATACCATCTTGCTTAAACAATGGTGTCCTGGCCCTGTTAATCAGATTATCCAGAATGTGCTGTTCAAAACTTATCTGAGGTGGTAAGAAAAAAAAAAAAACAAAACAGGTTGCTTGCATCACAAAACCTGTAGTATTGAATGATTTGTAGCAAGATGAGAAAAAATATCCCAAACAACAAGAAACACAGTTTTCAGAACATGATATAATAAAACTTTGAACTTACCTAAAGTTTGTCTTTCATTCTCCATGTCATTGCTTAGGTTATCTTCTGAGACGTTATCACTGATATCACTTACGTATGAATCATCATCTGATACCTAAGTGCAAGGTAGAGAAATAAGCAAGATATTTAAGCAGTCATTAAAATAATCCCATCTGCATATTAAAATTGTTGCTCCAATGATTTTTTTAATTATATTTGAACTGTTTAAGCTGTATTTCAGTATTATAGAAAAGCAGGCCTAAGAATTAAAAGATAAGTTTGGGAGAGATGACCATCAATGACAATTCAACTTTTAGTGAAAGCATGCTTCATCTTCTTGGCCCCAGAGCTGAAAGAGCTTTCCCCTGCATCAAAAGCCAAGGCTTTTATGGAGTCCCAGAGAGGTGATAAAGTGAGCTATTAAGTTTCAGTGTGCATGACATCAGCCCCAAGGTACCGACAGGTACAACAAGGACAAGTATAAATATATATTTCTATGATACAATTTCTTAAGCACCTGCAGGATGACTCAAGACAGATGGTATAATATATGCAATATCTGCATACCAGCTACCTTTTTGCTATTTTTCTTAATGCACACATAAGACTTCTCCATAATACTGTTTTACACTTTATTGCAAAAAGATAATAACAACAAATGCAGTGTATTATTATTGTTAAAAAAAATAAAATCATTATCTGGCAGTCATCTGACAACCAATTAGCCCTCTGAAAGACAACGTGTCAAGTAGCAGATAATGAATTATGTAAGAATAATGTCAATCCTAATGCTCAGACCTCATTTTCTGAAGAGCTAGCAGACAGTAGGACTTCCTGTGCATCGAAAAATTCTGTGAGAGAGTCAGCAATAGACAGTCTGCTTTCATTGGAGATCTGGTGAACCAGACCTCTGCTTTCTTCTCTCGAATTTTCCTGTTTAAAAGAAATACAAAGTTTTGAGAAGAAAAATGCCACGAATACCATTCATGCATGCAAATCCAGTCACGTAACTTAACGGGCTGTAAAACAGTGGGAGAAGATTGCACATGCTCCTCTCTAGTGAAAGGCAGCATGTTTTAAAGACGGAATTAAAACCAAAGGAAAACAGACTAAAGAGAAGAGAAAAAGACAGCAAAAAAAAAAAAAAACCTCAATGCATTGTTCAGTAAATCAGTTACAGTGATGTACTTTTCCCCCTAAAAAAATAAATATAAAAATGCATTGGTGTTTGAGTGATTTATCTAGATACAAGCAAGCATATATTATTAAAAAAGCCCCACAATAAGAAAACTCCCAGCCTCTTTATACTGGATTCACATTCTTTTCTGATCTTAGCAATCAAATCAGTCTTTTCCTCCCAGGCCATGCTCAATGCAATCTGGCCTAGGAGTCGCATACAAAATTCAGAGGGGCAAAGTCACTTGCTATATAACAGCAATGCTTTCCTAGCTGTCTTTCTCCACCAGACTACTTCCCACGCTGTGCTTTGGAAAGCTTTCCCTCATATCCACACACACGAACTCTGTTAACCAAAATCAGCGTATTATCAAAGCCACGTAAATGACATTGTTTTTGCTGCTGCAGGCCCATTTGAAACATCATACAGATTTCATTATTTCTGCCTATGGAAGTCCCAAGTGCTTCATAGATAGTTGGCATAGGCAGAGCTGCAGAAAGTAGTCTAGCAAAGGTGGGATTACCTTGGTTCATTATGTGGACACAGGAAAAAATTGGAGAGGATTGTTACTGTTTTCCCTCCTAACTCCACCAATACTAAGGAAAAGGGCTAGCTGGCCCAAACGGGTGTATCAGCTGCTCTCAAGCTTCATTCTGCATGAGATGCTCTATTAACTTGTAACCATGACTGCCCTAACTATCATCGTTTTGCAGGAAATGTAGTGTTTTACTTTCAGAGCTCACTTAACGAATAATCTGATAAGTCTGTACTCAAACCGACAAACCATTTCAGTCTTGTGCTGGTGGATTTTACTACAGTATGAAATGTTTCTCAGTGTGTACTGATAATGGTGACATGGTAACAAGCCAAACTGTTATGATACCGAAGACTTTTTGCTTTTTTAGCGTATAACCATGATATAGCTGCAAGAAAGATGCAACCTCGAAATTATCTTTTCTGTGGGAAGCCAGTTACGCTGGCCTCCAAGTCAAAAAAAATCTTACATACATAAAGCGTTGCTACTGGGATTGTTTCCAACACTACTTTGAATCTGAGAAGCAAAATGAGCAGAAAAGGCTCATAAAAGAACAGTTGCTTTTTATATTTAATCACATGAGAGTTTCATTTTGCCTACTTTCATGTTCCAATTGTGGCATGATAAACTACACCATAAATTGCCCAACAAACTAAACTTTTATCTTATGCTAAGGCCTGAGAAACTAGTTAATACTGCTTCAGTTTTCACAGGTCTGTCATAGCACCTGATGTATCATTTACAGACAAGTTCTGTGCAGTAACCTACAGCAACACTGCTATACCATAGCCCTCAGAGAAATCTAAGATGAAACTTTTCCAATATAAGTGATTCTGCCCTTAAGTTCCATTCCCAACCATGCCAGAGGGAATTTGTCAACAAACCCCCTAAAGGACCTTTAGAAAGCTATTTTTGTCATGTATATATGCAATGCATACAGCATGTTTCAGAAATAATCCATTGTCTTTGCAAGGGCCTCTACTAAATAGGAAAATAACTCCTGAAATTAAAAAAACATTGTATTGATACATGAATGCTTCTCTGGATAGCAGCTTAAGTGCTGTCCAATATCTTATGGGATTAAAAGGAAAAGGCAAGTAGAATGATCAACTACCTTAAAGAAAAAAGAAAAAAAAAAAAGAGGCTAAATATGGCCAAAACCAGTTCTGCTAAAAGAGAACGAAAATAGAAGTGAACAGACTGAATGACTAAACTGTCTTTAAAAATGGAAGGAAATAGTAAGTTATATAAAACCCCCAACATTACATCCATTCAAGTTCTAATGCAGGATTTATAATGCAAGAGCAGCAGAAGCTTCTGTATGAGTTAACATTTAGGAAAATCCACCAGAAATAACACAGCTCTTGCTCCCCTTACCAGCACCATTAGCATCTAGATCCTGTGACCTATAAATACACCATATTCGTATGCATTCTGCAGCAAGCCAAAGAGCTGTCTGAACATCAGGACATCTCAAAATGGCTCACTGGATATATAGAAGACTCCATGGCTTCACACACAAAACTAAATCAGCGAAAGAGCTCATTAAGAGCTGTGTACATCTACCTTATTTGATCCTTTCATGAAAAAGTCTTGTAATGGTTCTAAACTTTAAATCAGCCCCACGGGTAACCAGTGTTCTGGGCTAAAAATATTTAGGCAACAAAGAAATACAGAACATGAAAGCTAACAAGGGAATAAGGGGGAGAGAAATGCTGGCTGCAAGGTAACAACAAGACAGCTTTGTTCATGCTGAATGGGAAGTGGGCAGGAGGTGAGGGAGAACACCAGAAGCCAGCAGGAAAAAGCAATGGAAGTGTGCTCAGGAAAACCGCTCACAAGGAAAGTCTTTAAAATTAAACATTACACAATGCATCATCAGAAATGATTCATAACCACAGAAGTGGACTCATTTTACTAACACAATACACCGCGGGGAACACATGAAGAACAGGACAAGATGTAACACTGGTCTAGATGTAGGAGCTGGAGGAACAGACATCACTGGAAGACGAAATCCATACCCACCTTCACCAAATCTGGACTTGATTTTGCATTAGATGCTGAATCAAGGATCATAGATTCGGCATGTATTCTGCGTAACCGGTCTTTTAGATCAGTGTTTTGTGCTATTGCCTGGAATATTTAACACAAATATTGGGGATATAAAGTTCTCTCAACTAATTTGAACAGTGGTTTTATTGCGTAAAAAGAAAGGGGAGAAGAATATTTATAGTGCATTATTAAACACCACCAACACGATTCTTTACTGGTCCAGCAAATCAGTTATTCTAAATGCTTCAAACCTTGTTCTTTATGTCTAAAATAAAATTATTTTTGTTCAGACACATAAGTGGAGAACAAAAGCCAAGGATAGTATTTACAAGTTACCAGGTTCTGCAAGGTGATACAAGAATTTAAAACTTAATTTTATGCATCACTTTTCTCTTCAGCTCCTTTCTTTCTGTCTGATCTCCAACCTAGTCTCTCTCAGTATTCTTACTCTTGCCACACCCAAAAACATTTGAAGAACTGAGAATGCAGCCTGGGAGTGAAAGACAACCCTTGCACATGACAAACATTGTTTTCCAGGAGACAATTCCAGAAATGGCAGAGGGCAAGTTTCACTGGACATGACTACCCTCTAGGGGAGAGCTTTCTGGTGTGGTTTGGAGATGGCTACGAATACATAAATAAATAAATAAATAAAAACCAACAAATAAAAATATTTAACAATGCTTACAACAACTTAGCTCTGTTTTCTTTTTTTTTTTTTTTTTGAGAAAGATATTAATAACCAAAATTCTGTATTTGTATTTTAATATTGTACAGCAATACTATTTTATATTCTACTGCTTTATAATTATGTGTAAGCATTCTTTTAAATTTACTCTGTTAAAAAATGAATCTCTACAGACTCTGACAGTGAAACAGCCCATTCTTTGTTCCATTTCAGAAACCAATTCACTCTAGTGAATTAAAAGGACGCCATCCTTCAGAGTATCACAAGTATATGTAACACTGCAAGACCAACAGGTAGTCATGTATGGTAACGTAACTTCTCCTTCGCAAGGACATGGAGCAGGAGGTCACACAGAAGCAGTCACGGTCTCTCAGACAGGGATGATTCAAACAACACACACTCTAAATATATGGCCAGCACTCCTCCAGCCACAGCTGTTAGTTGGACACACTATGATCTTTTGGGCAACTCTTTTCTGAGGTGAGGTGGGTTTTCTCTCATACTCAGTTGGAACCACAAAAGACACAAAAGCTCAGTGTTTGAGGATTAGTCTGAGCCAAGAGTTTGACTAAACTTCAGTCTGCTAGGGTGTTCAAATTGTCCTGTCTGCAAGCTTATTTCTTCCCTTAAACCAGGGATTTTTTTGTTGGTTACAATGTATTTTTTTCAGATGCCTCCTTGCTTCTTTAATTACCTCTACAATTCCTGGATGCTTATTTATCCCCTGAAAGACAAACTTGGGGGCAGCTTCCTGTCTCCTTTCAGTGACTGTCAGCCAGGGAACCACAGAATGGTTTGGGTTGGAAGGGACCTTAAAGATCACCTAATTCCAACCCCCTGCCATGGGCAGGGACACCTCCCACCAGACCAGGTTGCCCAAAGCCCCATCCAGCCTGGCCTTGAACACCTCCAGGGATGGGGCATCCTCAACCTCTCTGGGCAGCCTGTTCCAAGATCCAACCACCCTCTAGTAGAGAATTTCTTCTTTATATCTGATCTGGATCTACCCTCTTTTAGTTTTAAACCCCTTGTACTATCACCACACGCCCCGGTAAAGAGCCTGCTTATCTTTCTTGTAGTCCTCCCAAGTACTGGAAGGCTGCAATGAGATCTCCCCAGAGCTTTCTTTTCTAGGCTAAACAACCCCAACTCTCTCTCAATCTCCCTTCATAGGAGAGATGTCCCAGCCCTCTGATCATCTACAGGGATTTCACATCTAAAGTTTAGGTTACCAAAATGGGTAAGGAAATGTGGTTTTATCCTTACTGACAGGAATACAAGTTTTTGTTTCTTGTCCTCCTGAAGAGAACCAGAAAGCGTAGTTATTTTTCTGCTGCACCAACTGGAGCTGTGTAGACTGCTCTGACTTGATCGTAACACCTTCTACTTTAAAAACTGATACAGAGAGGTCTCTTCCACCTAGCTGTCTTTGCATTCCTCCTGGCAGTATGAAAATGGAACAATGTGAAGCAGAATCTTCTTGCTAAGATACATCTGAAATGTACTCCACCACAGGATGGATTGTGGATGGTTTGATGCATAGTTGAAAGAAAGAGGCAACTTTGGGCAGGAATTTGAGGAACAATCTAGTGCATGTTTATCCTGGTAAGTCTCAAGGACTTGTGCAACTCCTTAGGCTGTCAGACTTGCCCAGAAGCAGGACAAGTGTCTTTAAGTGTTTGGTCTCAGCTTTCTGGCAAGGTAACAAAAGGGAATGGAAAAAAAAAAATTGACTGTGATGTTCTTGTCCCAGGATTTTTTCATTAGATGCCAAATACCTACTATAGCAGGCTGTTCAAACTGTATTCCAAATAAAGTATATTTAGACTATTTTGAAATACTTCCTCTGGCCAAAGTAGACTTTGGCAAGGGTTATCTACATCTTCCAAGCAGTTCTCTACAGAAAGCAGAACTTCACAACTCTTTCTACCACTGTACCAAAGAACAGGTACAATTCATATTCTGACAGCCTTATAATGGAAATGGTAAGAAGAAAAAATCTCTACTGCAAACTCTGGTATTAGTTACTTGTGCTGAGTGCATCTGATGGCCACGTGTCAGTCACAGTAGAATTGAAGGAAGAGAATGCAGCCCTTCTGAAATGAAAATGTGTCTCTGAAAAAAAATTGCATTACTAATTTTAACCATAAAAAAAAAAGCCTTCTGAGTCATAGTTCCTGTACTGCAACACAAGTCTAGCCAAGATCATCATTTTAAATAAATCCAGTATAGAAATGAAGATGGTCTTACAGCCCTTACAAAACACATTTTCCCTTTCTGTTTAATTGTGTCTATTGAATTGGGTAAGGAAAAAAAAAAAAAGAAGAAAAAACAAACCCTCTTGATGGTTGGAACAATACTGAAGACCTCATGCCCATTTTTGCAATCTGAATGTGGAGAACCCTCCTGTTTACGCAATAATTTGTCCCAGTAATGTTTCTGATTTTCTGATGGATATGGTCTTGAGGGCAGGAAAGACAGTAGGCCTGAAGTGATGGTGGAAGGGAGAAAGAACATTCTCTGGCTTTATGTACATGTAGTCTGGATTCAGCACACAGGCATTTACCACTCCTGTGTCAAGCGTTCAGGTGCGTTATTATATGTCACTTCAAATGAGTGCAAAAAAGAATTTACACAGCCTGCCTGTATAGCATGCTACAAAGTGGTTTTTTCCTTCTGTTGTAGCATTTTTCTGTTGTGCTATCTTCTTTCTATTTAATTTTTTATATATTACTTATCTCTATTCACTATCTACTTTTCTTAGACTGTGGGTAGGTCAAGGATAGAAGCAGAGACGCTAATTTTGTAAAAGTCTTTTTATGCACTTTATCTGTTCACTTTTCTTCCTGTCAGGCTAGTAAGAGCAAAACAGACTTACGTTGGATAGCTTTCAACCAATGAGTTTGATTTTTTTTTGCACATATACAGAATAAAAAATGAATTAATAACAAACACCAAGTCAAAGTAACCAATACAGGACTCTCTTGAAAAGAGCACTTTTGCAAATGTGTCAGGTTTATCATAGCTGTGCCTGCATAGCTCTTCAAAGAAAGCTCATTCTTTTCTCTTAGAGGATCTCTCCTGTGCATGGTGAGAAAATTTCTGTTGGCATCATGGCTTTACAGATCTACAGGCTAAGAATAGCTCTCATATAGATGTTAACCTCTGCTGAAACTGCCAGCATTCACAAATGACATCTGGACAAGCTACAGAAGGCTTGTTGAGTGACAGATAAGAGCTAAGAGAATGACTTTTAAAAGACATCTAGAGGATGGAGATGAATCCTTCATTGCTCAGAAAAAAACAAACAACCAAAAACAACAGGCTGAGTGTTCACTTAGTTCAGAAGTCTTAAAACTGATTTTTTGGTATAAAATAGTACGCAAAAAGCACTGGAAAAGTGTGAGACACCTATCCAGATGTCAGAAGTGGAATATCTGAAAGCCAAAAACAAATGAGTAAATACAGTTATTATGCAACAAGTTTCAGTTTTCGCCAAAATCTACAAAGACATAACTGCCTCTACAGGTCTAGGCAAAGAAACATGTTACAAGCTAAAAATCTATAACCATGTGCAGCTTTTGTAAAACAAAGGAAGTTTTTATAAACTTGTAAATCTTGTAAACTTTTTGTAAAACAAAAGGAGTCGAACAATTTTTATACTGAACGATTTCTAAGATGATCTATATCACATATAGCCAGAGAGTCAGGAGTGCCTCTGATTAGGAATTTGCAACACAGATTGAAATTTTAAGAGCATGGTAATGATGGTTTTCATTGCTCTGAAACCAGATTGCTATTTGGTTGAACAGATAGCAATCTGAATATGAACAGCCTGGAAGGTCTCAAACAATTAGACAAAGTACACCAACCTAAATTCCCCACCACAACCTCCTAGAACTGAGTGATTGAACAGAGTGTATATTTCCAGACAAGGTAGACTTGTTGTCACAGAGCGGCCCTCTTATACTTGACATCAAATGATACAGATTATACTATATACCCAAATAAATCTATCAGACTTCAGTGTTATCACCTTTACCATTTAGGAAAGAGAGTCTTTGTGTAACACCATATATAATAACTCATTATGCTTCAATACTAAAAATTCTAGCACAGAGCGAACACTAACAAAACAAAAATTAACTACTATGAAATTTAAAAGTAGTATCAGATGACAATGAAGCTTGCTATACTTCAGTTTATCACTTACAGATGTTAAGGCATTCTTCAAGCCAACTATTTGTGCAGATGGAGATGAGGATGCATCATGCTCTAGCATCTGCTTCAGCTTTTCTCTCTCTGTAGATATGGTGCTGAAAGCTGACTTCAAGGTGAAGTAAACTAGAATCATTTTGTAAAAAGAGAAAGTTAAAAAAAAAACCTTTTGTATACATATCAGTTAGGTAAAACTTCAAAGAAATGCCATTTATGGTGACAGAAACAAGGAATTAGTTTGAGATCTAAGATAGGTCACTAAAAACAAGTAATATTAATCAAGGTTACAGAGTAGATTTTTAGTAGGAGAAATGTATATGGTGAATGCTACCACGCTGACTACATTAGCCACAGTCAAAATTACTTTTGATTATTTGTGACAGATGGCAACAAAGCTAACTAACCACATCTGCTCTTCACTTGCTTTGTTTCCCAATTAGCTTGAATCTTCAGATGGCCATGACTCTACTTCACATTCCTTTAAGAATTCCAGTGGGGGAGGAGAGGGAAGGAAAAAAAAAAATCAAGAAAGCAGCTATAGACCATATAGCGCCAGAGCTATAGGGTTAGCAGCTTCACCACAAGTTAACTGTGGTGTTGAGTTCTATTATATCATTTGGGTACAATGAAATTTCAGCTTGTTAGATGATTTAGTGACTAAAAGGCTCGGATCCTGAATGTGATGATGCTCCTTCTACTCCTTCCTGAGCCTGTATTACTAGTCTGAAACATTCAAAGACAATAGATCATGAAAGCTGAAAACCACTAGATTTTTCAAGGGGAATGCACTTTAAAAAAGAAAAAAGAGAGAGATTTGGTATTTTCTTTAACTATGAGGAATACAAAGTGACATTTGCTTATGTAGGCTTTGAACATTCATATAACTGCAGAACTAATGGATTTCTGGGGGACTAATCAAACCTTGTACTGAAGTCACAAGAACTGTCAATGCAAAAAATTTGTCAGGGAATTTACCAAGGAAATGAAGATACTAAATCTGAGTGTGGATGCATAGGAAGTATAAAAAACAACAAATCTGTTATCTCTCTCTTCTAATCATCCATTTCTACTTATCCTTAATAGTCATTACCTTGTAGGTATATCTCAAATGTATATACCTTAGTATCTCAGGTAACCTAACTTAATCTTATAAGAAAATACTCCTGAGGTATATTTCAACACTGCAAACAGTTACCAAAGATAATTTTCACACCTTAACCTACATGAAAAAATCTAACAATGTCACAGAGGATGCAGAGGAAGATGTATCCATTATGATCTATTTTACATTAGCCTTTCACACATGGGTGACATACACAGAATCCTCAGTGATCTTGTATTTCATTTAGTAAGTTGTATACTAAAATCTGAAGAAATGTTACAGAATTAAGTACTTATGTTACATTTCAGTTGTATCAAAAGCTAAAGCAAAAGTTTTCTTTACTATTCTTTTCCAGAAGGGTAGTGATATAAAGCAAGTTTGAGAAAAAATATCTTTGTTTTCTTAATACAATGATAACTGCATTAAATAGTGCATAGTCAATTGTATCCATAATGCATGGTTCAATCCAGTCAAAACTTGGGACATGGACAAAGATTAAAGATCATTTTGAGCAGGAGATTTCCAGAACTCCACTAGATAGCAACTTTTCCAATTGCGCCTCCACTTCCTTTTTAATTTTCAGAAAACATGGATCAGTTTTGACTATAATTGACTTTATGAAGCTTACTACTGAGATAGATACATTCCTTACGTAATGGAATCAAGACACATCAGCACCAGAGGGCAAAAACAATGAAAGAATGCATACTGATAACATCAAATCCTTATCCGGTGCAAAAGGGGGCAAAACCAATGCTTCCAAAAGTCTTTCAGATATACAAGCTTGAGTGCCTTCCTTACCAAGATTACTTAAATAGTAAAAATGTTTCCAGTGTGAGGATGACAGGGCAAAGTACTGCTAAAGAAGAATGATTCTGAGAGAAGAAAGAGTCAGGCTGTCCCTCTGGCTGCTTTACATGATTTTACTCTTATATATTCACTAAAAATAGGTTACTACCATAGCAACCCTTGCATCACCAACAAATGTTGACTCTGAAATACAGTGAACTGTCTGAATTTATAAACACACATGTTCATATACACACATATGCATGTGAACAGAAAAGAATATGATCTCCTGTAGCATTTACAGCAATGGACTGTAGGATTTGCACCTTTTGGCAACAAATAGAATCTAGGTTTTTAGTACATTAAGCAAGGTAAGGTCCTCCATAATATATATATATGTATATACTGGATGATTAAGCCACGTTTTTCAAATGACTCAAGACATCAACATTTGCAATTCCATGAGGAAATAAAAGGAAGGGCGTTTCGTGCATTTGTCTAAATATTAAATAGGATGCATTCTCAAAAGTCACATCAATATTTAAATTGTGATGACATAAAACTGTGAATGAACAACAAAATTTCGTTTACCTTTATGTGCAATGTGAAATAAGTCCTCCTGCATTTTAGTAAATTCTGATGATGTTTCTGAGCCATCAGAGTAGTTTTTCTCTTCTACAAAATCTATTGTAGATAAGTTAGGATTGGAAGCATGCAGTCTCATAGGGGCAGAAAATACTGAAGGCACCTGTAAGGAGGACAGCCATTTGTGATGTTGTTTTTTGTTTGTTTACAAACTGTAAAGAATGTTTTTTGTTTTTTTTTTTTTACTTGTCCCTATCAGAGTTGCATCCTGGAGACACCAAAAATTGAAGTACTACTGTTGGTTACCAGTAGGCTTGCAATGGATAAAACCATTGATACAATTTGAACCAATTTTGCCCAAGATGTCATAACGGGAAATATGGCAAAATTCCAAGAAACCAGCCCATTGAGAGCTGTAGGATGTGGTATGTTATTTTTACTCACTTCCTAGTATCTAACAATATGGCCTCTGGAGGCAAATAGGCACAAAAATACCTGGAGAATATAAAAAATCTATACTGCTAAAAAAAGAAAACACTACCAGAATCCCCCCCTAAATTGCAGGCAGATGGAAAAAATAGGTAAAAGACATTGTCAGTCTCCCAAAGAAATTAGTACAGATCCTGTTGCAGATATATATGAGATATACAGATATACATATTTTTGTTTTGTCTAATATATTACCTGCTTAAAGTGATTCTAGCACAGGATACTACTTCAAAAGGACTCATATTTCCTAAACTGGTTACATTGAGAAATGACCAATACATGAGCTACAGAAAAGATTGAAGTTACCTGTAATGTTCCTTTAGCCTCTTTACCAACAACTCTGGATCTCCACCTCCTATGTGTTCTCTTTTCCTTCTTTGGGCTTTCAAAAGGTCCAACCTTTTAACAACACATCGGACAAAATTAATGCAGATCACCATAAAACTAGCAAAGATAAGAATAAACACCTTGATCTTTTAGGATTTGGGGTTCTTTTTGAATTGCAAGGGAAAACTTTATTTATTTATTTTTAAACAACAAACCTGCATAGCATTTATAGCAGGCGCTGAATAGGTCCTGTGAAGAACATCCATGCTCTGTAACAGCTGGTTCATTTCCAGTAAATGTGTGTGACAGGTGGAGAGATCTGTTTTGAACAACAGAGTATTTTCAGTTGCTCTCAAGTAACAGGCACAATGAAAGTTTTTGTTTGTAGGTTAGTCTTATTTTGATGGTAGCTAACTTAAGTTATTCAGTGAACAAAAAAAACCACAACAGTATTAGACAACTGCATAAAAAAGCTTGTATCCTTCTCTCTTCAATTCCATACTCAAAATATTGAAATGTTTCTATACAGCCTGTGCAATGATCTTGGTATTTTATCCTAGCTGACTGTAGAAAATCAAGAGTAACATAATAATTACTGCAGTTTGGGACTAGTCAGGTCTCCTCATGGAGAGGGGGTATCAAATCCAAAGGCTTAAAGACTAAATAGTCCATTCAGAGCTAGAGATGGGCCTCCTCTATGTTAACGTTGAAGCTCAATGTTGGGTAGAAGCTTAGCAGGTATACATCATACAGACTACTATCAACATGAGAAAGATTTTCATGCTTTTAGAAAAACATGGAAGCAGAAGGTAACTTTGAAGTAAAAAGATTTAGTCCTTTTAAAATGACTAGATTTTGGATGCTTCCCTTTTTTGAATACCCAGATTAAGAAAGTTCAAGTTTTACTATTGAAGGTGATGTTCACATATAAAAGAACATACACCGAAATATGTAGGTTCCTTTAAGAGGTCCCTAAAATTGATAATCTCCACATTCAGGAATCACTAATCCTTTTGAAAACAAGTAGGCAGTTAACCAACAACTACTTTGTTCCTCCCTCTTGTTTCTGAGAAAACTCTAACTTTAATTACTATTTACGCTATTGTTCTGTCATTTTTAAAAACAGCCATAGGAAATAGGCTATTTTCAGCTTCCTTCGAATATCATTACCTCTCGAGCATTTTTCCATGTCTTCAGAAGACTGTAGCCATGATGGAATCCTGGACTCATTACTCGAAAAGGAAAATGACAAGTTACCTCCAGCTGACAGTGAATTCTGTTTGGTCAAGCTGCCTGCCTGTTCCAAAGAAGAACAAGCAAATTATTAACAAATAATATTTTAATGAAGGAACAATAATGATGAAAAATAAATTTTGAGGAAGGCCAAAGCTATGCATCTATTAAATCAATTTAATACATTCAAAGCTTCTTATGTGGCACACAACCAAAACAGGACATTCTGTTCCTTCTGCACGCTCCCTGAAGAAGCCCCAAAGGTAACTAAAATGTAATATGCACATATTTGTTAGAGCTATTTTCTAATGAAGGACGCATAATCTACTAGATGCTTTTTAAAATTTTTACTCAAGGTCTTATGAATCAAGAGTGGATTTAGCTTGACAGACCTTACTACATGTGTAACCATATATCTTAACTGGATATAGACTATTCTTTTGCAATATCTCAGTAATCTTTCTCAAACCTATCTCATTTTCGATAGCAGCTACTATCAGATGCTTCAAGAGATGCTCAAAATCCTGTGTAAGAGCTAGCTGAGTAGTACAATTAAATAGCTTCCAATGGAAAGAAATTTCTACCCAATACTATTACCAGTTCATAGTGCCTTATTCTGATTTCTTTTCTAATATAACTACAAATAGTAGCCATTCAAATGCCTAATTATTTTTTAAACTTTACTAAACTTTTCACCTTTATTAATATCTACATCAGGAAGTTACATAAAGCAATTACCTGCTTTATCAACATCTTGTTTAAAGTCAGTTTTTAAAATGTTTTCATAAATGTTTCATCTTAAGTGGCATTACATTGCCCACTCACTGATTATGAGAAAAGATGACTAAGTTGTTTGGCTCTTCTCTAAATCACAGGCTTTACAGGATTTGTTACCTCCTGCTCACCTTATATCAAAACTCGTGTAGCACTAGTTTTAAATTTATTCAGAGGAAATATCATCTATATCTTATCCAGTTGCAGTTTTCTTAGTTTGTCTTTTAAACTATATAATATATGCTCCAACTTGAGTTGTGGAATAAAATAGAAAGCACTGTCCAGATGATGTCATTCAGTACTATGTCAATTTATATAGTCAGTCTGCAATAGCAGTAAACATCAATAAGCACAATTATTTTTAAATTAATCTATGCGGTTCAGCTGTTTTATTCCTACATAAATAAAGATGTAATCATCTATATATGTATACAAATAATAATCCCAGCACCTTTGTAAGCATAAGCAAACTTAATTTAAAGATGAACACTTTACTGACATTTTGGAAGCCAATCCCACATTTATCTCTTAAAAATCTAACCATATAACCAAACCTTTTCCAGAATTTGTATCCATGAGGGGCATGAGTAGGAGGTAAGAAGCAAGAAGACATTGCCAAGAAACAGGTAAAAGAGTTTGCAGAGCTCCAGTTAGCATACTCTTGGTCATGATCAACCAGGTTAAGCATTAGATTCTAAGTGCTGCACATATATATACATAGATACATACATTCACCTTCCAACAACAACAATAAAGAAGTGAAAGTTGGTCTAGCATTTCTAAAAGCAAATAAAATGCAATAAAAAGTTCACTTAACATATTTTTCTCAAAATAACTTCTGGATTGATATCAACATTAACCTAGCTAGGACTCGTGTAAATTGGCAAACCTCCATTTAGCTTCAGCAGATCTAAGGTGATTAACTGGAGCTTAAGAACTATCCCCTTCTATTTTTCACATGAAAATAAGCAGGGCTTCTTTGCGGTACAAATCTGGATTAATAAATTAAAAGTGAATTAAAGTCTTTCATGCCAAAGAAGAAATGCTTATAGTTCCTGACAGTGAGTACAGATTTTAGATATTCTGGTCACATGAATATATATATATATATATATTTTTTTTTGGTGAGCAAAGGCATTGTTATGCTTGATGTCTGCCTTCAGTATTATTCTTCCCCTTCTATTCCAGCTGTCTTGCAGGAGAAAAGAACTAGACTGTCCCATAAGGTTTCTCATTTCCTAGCAGACACAGTCTCAGCAGAGCAGGCTGTCAGAGCGGCAGAGGTGCTGGCTCCACAAAACCCATGCAGACAGCTCTTTGCAGAACAGTGCTGTTACCGCAGGGCACATCACTGTGCTTTCAGCTGCTGGCTCACACAGATCCCCTCCTTCTCAGCCACTAGCAAAAAGCTGTTCAGGCACATGTTTGTGCTTGCTAAATAAAAAAATTTACACAGTAACAGTATAGTCCTACCAAAGTGATGAACCTCCCCCCATCCCAATGTCTTGTAGACACAGAGCTCCATGCAGCTAACAGGCAAACTTATAGAGTGACTTTGTTCAAACTGATACTACAGGCACTCCTGATAATACAGCCACCCCTGTTTTTTACTGTCAGTACCAGGGGATGTACTGTACTCGTTGTCTCTGAAGGAGAAAAAGGCGTGGGAGAAAGGTTAGTGGGTAAGTTTACAAAGCACTCCTAAACATCCCCCAAGAATCCTACAGATGGAGAATCCTCAGAAATGCCTAAAACCCTTTTACGCAGAAATACTATGCTGTTTCCACAGTAAGCACTGATAAACACGTTGCTGACAGCTCAGAAGGAGTCCTATCAAACCAGGGAGGTGCCAGTAGGAGGAAAATTCTTGTACTGCAGGTAGTGTGAAACAAACCCACTCAGACCGCACAGCAATATAGCTAGGGAAAAAAAAACCTTAAGTAGGATGATAACAAAGAGGTGATAGCTGCACAGAGGTACTTTTGGAGTTGACAGAAACAGAAAGCAGTTTCAGTTACAGAAAGTAGCACAGTATTGATAAAAAAAATGTTCTCAGAATCACAGAATCACAGAATTTCTAGGTTGGAAGAGACCTCAAGATCATCGAGTCCAACCTCTAACCTAACACTAACAGTCCCCACTAAACCATATCCCTAAGCTCTACATCTAAACGTCTTTTGAAGACTTCCAGGGATGGTGACTCCACCACCTCCCTGGGCAGCCCGTTCCAGTGCCTAACAACCCTTTCAGTAAAGAAATTCTTCCTAACATCTAACCTAAAACTCCCCTGGCGCAACATTAGCCCATTCCCCCTCGTCCTGTCACCAGGCACGTGGGAGAACAGGCCAACCCCTACCTCACTACAGCCTCCTTTAAGGTATCTGTAGAGAGCAATAAGGTCGCCCCTGAGCCTCCTCTCGAAAGAGATCACTGGTTCTAGACAAGAGCAGAAGAGCTTCTTCGGGTGAACGTCAACCAGTCAGCATGCAAACTGCTGGAGACAGGTTGCGTTCGGGTGCAGAATACCATCACTGTTCTGTGAGAGTACCTTAGTTAAAAATGCAAGTGGTAGTCACAGGTGATGGCTGTTCAGTAATCCCTATATACATCTCAGTTAAGCACAGTCAGACACGTTAATGTAAAAAGAGAGAGGTTTTATTAGCTAAAGGATAAAAGAAAAAATGAGAAAAATGAAAAAAAATAATACAGCTGAGCGCTCTTCTGTGACCCAGACTGACATTCACCATGAACGTATCACACAAATACTGAAATATGTCTCAAATATTATGGGGTTATAACTATATATTCATTACTTTTAAAACTGAATATTATTTAATTCACTAAAATAATAAGACAATATTATACAATTTACCATCATCATAGAGAAAACTGCTTGGGAGAAAATATATTAATAATATTATTTTGCTCTTTATAGAGCAAAATATTTCAGACCATAACTTAGACCCCTACAAATTTCCTATGCCCTTTATTTAAACTCAAGTCAGGCTAATTTGTTCCTTGATGAAAGCCCATTATTTATAAATCATAACTATTACCTTTCTACTTGGAGTAGAATCACACACACCGGGGACAGAGTCCACAGTAGCAGATACAGGGAAGAAAAGATTACTGACGTCATGAGGAAACATGGAGATTTCATTCTGACGATACATTCTGTGATGACGAAGTTTTGCTACCCATTCATCAAACAGCTCCTGAGATTTCACCTACACAAAATTTCAGATTTTGTAACACCCACATCCAAAACTGCTAATAAAGAAACTAAGACTATCTTGTGCTCATTAGACAGCTAGCCTGGCTGACTTTTATTGGCAAAACATCGAGAAAGTTTCTCTAATGATGCTCATATTAGGAAGACACGCTGCATGAGCTTAAGCATGACAGAAAAATTGTCACTGGAGAAAGTCAAAAAAAAAAGAGAAGCTTCAGTTAACATGACTATGATTTCAATACAGAACACAATACGTAACAACTTCTAGATAGGAAAAAAGCAATATAAACAAAAAAAATAATTGTCATTTCTTAGTTGCCAGTTTTAAGGTTTAGTCAAGGTTTAACGAACTGCAACAGAAATTCGATTTTGGTGATGAATTTTACAACAATTTATTTCACAAGACAGAATATACAGTTCTATACATTTGACTATAGAGAATACTTCCTACAGATAAGACAAAGAACAAGATACAAATACTGAAAATAAAAGCACTTATAAAAAGTGCATATCCTTTGCTGAAAAAAAATGGTGGAGAAGAGAGTGCTGCTAAACATGAGGTATCTTCCAAGTTTCTACTTAGAGAATAATTTTGTAACAGGGTTACCAACTCTGGAACAGTACAAGTAAAATCTCTGAAATTATAAGTGTAAAACTAGTCTCCTGAGACTAAAAATTATTAGTGCAACTAACAGACCTACTACTAGTAAAAATAAATGTGGTCTCCACCATACAGAGTTAATGTTGTTATACCCCTACAGTTTTGGGAGTAAACTTTAAATAATTTTAAAGACCTACCTTCAGATGGTATATCTGCTCTTCTGTATCCAAATCTATACATTTTGTTGATTTCTTTACAGACATGACAGAAAGCCCAACATCAATGCAGCCATGAAGCTTCCCTCTCTCTATCTGCAAAAAAGTAAAGAGAATGCAATAACCCCAGAATAAAGCAGAAGGACAGACCCACTAAGACCATCATTCTCCTGCCTTCGACCTACTGTTTAGAGCTGCTGAAACTCTACTTCTCTTTACCAGTAATATGGAATTACTAGTATTTCAGATAACATTCTATTGTTACCTTATAATGACCTTAAAGGGTTTTAAATTACTTACATCAGCTTGGCATTTAGAATATTTCAAAATCCCTCTGTCCAAAAAGAAGTATCTCTGTAACCAGAAATGCAGAGAATTAAAAATCACACAAACAGACACCAAAAAAAAACAATCATACAAAAAAAAAAAAAAAGCCTACCCCAAACACTCACACCACTCACACATACTTCTTTGGAGAACACTTTCCATGCTCTTAATTTTTTTATTTTTATTTCTGCTGTAACAACACACCCAGTAAGTCACATTCAAATGGCATCAGGCTTTCAGACAGACATTCCTTTACTACCTTGTGCCAGCCCTTCAAAGGCCATTTCCTCTTTTTCAGCAAGCAGCCTTCCTGCTTCTGTGGTTCCTGGGTACAATTCATTGCTCCCCGGAGTCCTTCTACAATTTCCCAGCTGTCCTGCTTAAATAGAAAATCCAAATCTCAATCTTATTCCTTCCAACTGATAGAATTGTTAAAACAGATTGGAGAGGAGTAAACAAAAACAAAGGGATGCTGAAATCTAACCTTAGATCCTTCTTTATACATTTCCTACGTATCTACGAAGAGACAAGACATATTTTTTTAAATTTTGATAGATACAATATAAACTAAATAAAAATGCTATTTTTATGACATGAACCATCACTGAAATTAGATATTTACCAGAATTTTATATGCATATTTTTCTGTGGGTACACACACAGTATGTAGCCACAGCCTAGTCACAGTTTACCATAAAAAGCTTTCCGCAGTCATGTACAGAAACTGACTATGCTAAAAGGATATGCTTCGTAGGTTATGAAACAGAAATAAAAGTCTGAAAATGAAGACATTTCTATAATGCTCTTTTGCCCATACTCAGTTACTAAAGGCTTTGTATTTTGTAATGAACTGCACTCTCCCTAAAAATAAAAAATAAAGTATTAATAATACTAAAAAAATAAATAAATAAAAGAAAGAAAAAGAACAAGCCAGCTAAGTAATTCAAGTACTATGAAGAACATGATGTAAAGAGAGAGTACAAGTAAAATACTCCCCCACTTTCATCAGATACACCTCTAATTAAAGGAGTATCTCTCTTCTGCTGTCAGTAAGTTTTAAATGAAATATCCTGCAGCAATGCAACAGAAAAAAGAATTAATCTGATGAGATTTTTTACTTTTTTTTTTTTTTCAAATGGGAAAACTACTAATGACCATGTAACATGAATTTCAAGATTTCTGATGACAGACTTCATGAATTATTTATTGCCAGCTACCATTGGATTCCACAGATCCCTAATTATAAACAACTAACAGAAAATGTCATGGCTTGCGCCACTGACGTGTACTTAAAAAAGACAAATACTTTAACCTGTAGAATTTAACAATGTAAAGGACTACTATGAAACACTTATGAGAAAACAGAACTACACCAGGCAGGCAAGTATTTGTGGTCTTCCATTTAAGCTACAAAGGGAAGTAGCTTTTCCCTTCAGAAAAAAAAAAAAAAAAGAAAAAAAAAAGACTGACTCAAAAACTTTAAAACAAAAGTTAAACAAAAATTGGCAAAAGTGCTAGTTGTACTCATTTATCCATCTTTAGAATCCTTAAAATTCACCCCAAGAAATCTAAAACTAACCACAAAAATTACGTCAGGTTATATGCCCATTACCAGAATAAGACAAAAAGTCATCCATTAAATAGTTTAAACAACACGATCTCTTATTCCAACACGTTAGTGGCAGCACTCCACTATTTTGTTATTTTCCTTGTACTGCACTTTATGGAACAAACTGCAAAATTGGTCAGATTCTTCGACTTGAGTTCCCTCTGCCAGGACTACACAGCAGGCTGCCAGCACCAGAAATGCAGCTCCCATCACTCCACACCCTACAGATCAGCCATGATGTTCTGGTGCCTGAAGGTAAGTCAAAACTGCATTCATTCTAAATTAAATTGTTATCACAGCATGCATTTTGTGCCCCTATGGGCTTGGGTTTTACGCTTGCCAGTTTTGTAATGCACAGCTCCTTTACTCCCTCCAATTTGCAATATTTTGACAGCTACTTAAATACCATTACTTCTAACTAGTACACTCATGAAACCATATTTTTCCTGTTGAAAACCAGAAGTTTCACTCCATATTCTTTATTTTTCATTTTTTTTTTTTTCTCAATATGGGACCCCCTTAGGATTCTAAATAATCACAAATCCTCTCCTACTTAGGGGAAAATTGCTATGATACCAGGTCAGGGAACAGATAAGTTACTCATAGACACCAGCAGCTAATGTTTTGAATGAAGAGCAGGTCTCCAGGCTGTCTCCAGCACATCAGTGCAACATGAGCCACAGCAGTGCACGCTCTGCTGCTAGACACCAGCAGCACAAGTCTTTTGTGGGGTGAAGCAGCCAGAAAATGAAGCAGAGAGTCAGCTTGTGCCCTTACAGTGACAGTCAGCTACGGCTTGCTAGCTGTGGTTTGACAGCTATTCAAGTACAAAGGCAGGATAAGCCTCCACAATTAAGGACTTTTCTTCTTTTTTTACAGAGTGTTCCAACCTTGAAAGCATAAAAGAATTTATATTCCACCATCTCTTCTGCCATAAATGGAAATATTAGACCACCTGCTTTCTGCAGTGAGTTTGGAATTTCTTTGCTTGTTAAAGATTATTTAATTAACCTGTATATAATTACAAGCATTAGGACTTATGATGACAGAGCACCCTCTTTAAATATAATCAAATATGGTATAATGCTACAATTTACATTAAGCATGTAACAGCTGAACTTACTGCTGTTCACTCTCCACATTTGGATAAAATTTCCTCTGCTTGGGAAATATGTTCTCCTAAATGAGCTAATATATAACTAATCTTGACATGAGCTGATTTCAAACTGGGGACTTGAGGTAAACGTTAAAAAAAAAAGTGTGAAACCTAATGGAACTAATGAAAGATGATTCTAATTAAGAACTAATGGGCACATCTACAAGATTAAGAAGAATGGCATGTTTATGTTTTTGTTTCTTCCTTCTTGAAATTAGCCAGAAGAGCTTAAAAGCAATATTGCATGACTACCAAGCATGTTATTTCCATTACCTTACCCAAAATATGTTAAACTGCAGTATCCAAACACATCATTTTTCCGTTGAAAGTTGATCTGATAGCAGTTAAGACTATGAAACAGCAGATCCTTTTCAGTATTCTGTTGTCTTGCCTAATTAATCCAGTTTCTTGAACTTTGGATCCAGTTCTCACACTTTGTTTAAGCTTAAACACTGTGTATTGTTAATAAAGCTGTCTACTTGAAGGAGACAAGCACAAATTTGAGCACAATCAGCCACAAAAATCTTGATTCAGTTTTAAATGGACTCCTCAAAATAGCAAGATCCATGCTATATTGGGCATATGAGATGAAAGAGAAAGAAAGCACTGGGAAGTAGTTCAGTGGCAGTACACCCACCTGGGATATACAGTGTCAACAGTTTTGGTAAAAAGTTTAAATACAGAGCATATCCTGGCCTGAATCACAATCAATTTTAGTCTGGGACTCTTCTGCAGTCCAGGCATAAGATGTTTCCCCTGTTCCTCCAGAAGATCCACATCTCTCCTTGTTCTTTTGCTCAGTGAGGCAGCCAAGAAAGTGTCTTCAAAATTAAGGAGTGTGAAAATGGGAAGAAGAGCTGAAGTAGAACTACTTCCCTTTGAGTAGGCCCAGAGGCCTGCCAAATCTCAGGGGAAGGCAAGTCTCCAACTCACATTTCTGTTAAACCAGCAATCTCACGTTTTTGCAAGCTTACACAAAGGTTACTTGGACTGGAAATGGATCCAATGCTTTTAAAAGCACAAGACTATTTAATCCTCTAGGTTACACAAGGAAATGCAAGGAATAGTTTAGAGAATTAACTGCATGAGGAACTACTGGATAACCACAAGGCTCAACACAGCAATAACAAGAAGCACTGGGCTCTGTTCCACACGGCTAGCCAAAGAACCCAACCTTTCCCAGCCAAACCCCTGAACTCACAAGGTTTTCAAAACACTGCTGCCGTGACTGTTTTTGGATCTGTTTGCTCTTAACCCAAGCCCTGCAGGATCTCTATCAGTAGTTTGTTTTGTGAGAGATCTGACACCTCATCTAATGGGAAAAAAGCGTCAGTTGGCTATTGCTGGGAGCAGCTGCTGAAGCAAAAGAAAACTGCTTACTCTCTAAAATAAAGGCAAATGAAGTGGGCTGTTTGGTTATCATTTGGTCTCATCTGTCTGAAAGAGCAGAGGAGCAAATTAGAAATACGGAACCTCATGAAAGCTACTGGAAGCATTTACATTATGGTCCATTTTGTTGATTCTTATCCCACAGCAGCGAACTGAAAAAGATACCCTAAACCATTGCATTAAACTGCAAGAAAAAAAAATATTTTTTTTAAAAAAACACTTCTTTACATATCCTCCCCCCCCCCCAAAAAAAAATATATTACAACCCTACCAAATGTTTTGCATCATTATGGGCCAATATCTGCACAAAATGATCAACCTTGCTTTTGCTGCCTGAGACAGAAATTTCACTCAAGGCTGATGGAGGAAAGTAGCATTGTTACTTTTTCCCAGGTCCAAAGATGCTCATTTCAGACCAGCATGGGAAATTCACACTGCAGTTGAAGAGCATACCTGCTGTGTTGCTGAGAATAAAAACCCATACACTTTGGTTTTCAGAGAGAAGTCTGTCATGAGGTAATTGTATTTATTTTCTTTATGTAATAAAATAAAAGCCTTCCCATTTTCTGCAGTATTATGTATCATGGAGCTCCTCAAGGTGAATTATTTCAGGAGAAAGAATGAAGCAACGAGTTTGAAGGGCTCTCAGACTGATGCTTGCACTTGCAGCTCCCTGAACGAAACAGATGACAGTGCCAGACTTTCTTTCAGTGTAAAATGCAGTCAGTTGTACCGAATATTTTAAGTGCCAAAAATAGAAACCCGCTTTGTGGAGGATAAGGGTTGGCATCAGCTGCAACTAAAGCATTTGTTACAGTTCATAAAATTGGCAGAAATTATTTAATTTTCTTTTTTAGAACATGAAGTATTTTTAAGCAGCTCTCCTGTCATAAGGCTTTTTTCCCTACTGTATCTATTTAAAAAGCTAGTTAGCATATTAGACTTAGAAATGACTATCATAATATATCTACTTTTGCACATAGGTCAGTTTAAATGGAAAGACCAAGACCAGGTTTGAGTTGTGGCTTTGTGGAAGACAACCCTTTCCATGGCTGGCAGAGAAGAGCAGAGAGGTGGGATGTGGCAGTATCCTCCAACCTGCCACGGGGCTTCAGGGTGAGGTGAACGTAGTGGAACACCATTAACTGTTGGTGTCTGCAGTTCACACTGCAAATGTATTGCATCTGGCAGAAAAAGGGCACCAAGTTTAGCAAAGGAAGGAGCAGACCCCTCAAAGTCCTGCGGCCCTGCTTCAAGTCAACGCTTCTGGCATGGTGGCCTACCTCTGCACCATGGGACTCCATTTATCCTCCATACCACTGACACATGTTGTTCCGTGAGGAGTAATAACTAAATTTTAGCAGTCACAGGAGCCCCAGTGGTAGCCTTACACTACTGTGGTTCCACATTCCAGTCTTGAGTTGCTTATTACATGGTGCCAGTGTCTACTTGCAACAGAGTCTGTGACTAGGAAAACAAAGAGACTCAGAACTCAGATCTCACTATTTATGGGAAAAACAAACAAAAACTGTCTCAATCCCTTCCTTCTGTGCTGTCCAGAGGGTTTTTTGTTTTTGTTTTTGTTTTTGTTTTTTTTTTACTTAATCAGATTAAAAGAGTTGCCATGTCAGATCAGCAGCACAGAAAAATGCATCCAGGCAGATCTGTCGCAAGCAAAAAATACAGTTCTGAAGGTGGCTGAAAGGGGCACAAACGTTGGAACAAAGAGTAAGAAGCCTCCCATAGAGCTGGAAGATAAACAAAGTAATACCAAAATCAACAATCCACATTTTGCAGAGCACATGGCAAAATGATTTAAACTTTCACAATGCGTTAAACAGGAGTAACACTGTAAATTTAGCTACTTTGTAGACCTCTTGATCACTTTGGCCAATGCAAACAAAGTTATAGGGTAACTTAGGAAGATATTACACTTGGTAAAGAAGGGAGTAGAGAAAGTATTAAGGAATTCCCTAATATTAGAAGTCTCTCATAAAAAATGACAAACACCTTAAAATGAACAACTAATTTCTGAAAAAATGTTTTTCTATATTTTCAGACTATATATGAAAAGTAAGCAAGCAGAAATTTTAGTCTTGCTTAGTGATTATGTCTCAGCACATAACAAGTCATGCAAACTGCCCCAACTTCTGGGGGCTTGCCTCTCTCATTAACACTTCCTGAAAACATGGAGAAGTCACTCGACTCTTACGTTCTCTAGATGCAGATGCATTCTGTTACTTGGTACTGCCATGAGTGACCATGAAAGGTTTAATAGTGAAACATTAATCAAAGTGGAGATATTTATCACCATGCCTCATATTATGTTGAATTATTATGATTATAGACCGTACTGCCTTCAACATAGATTGAGAAGCAACCTACTTTATATCTCTGTTCAGCTTGACCTGATAGGTGTATGAGGCAACTTACCATCTGCCTGACTATATTGAATGAACATGGATGCACCAGGAATACAAATAAAACAGAAAGCTGCATCTCTCACCTTTGTCAGATATACCTTGATTTTTGTACAGGTGATCAAAGACTAAAAAAGTAGGTGCAGACAAGGTGATATTAAACCTTACTGATTTATTTCCTTTCTCCAAAAGAGAGCAGGTGAGAATAAAATGGTTAAGAAATGGGATCCACTGACAATAATATCAAAAGCCTCAGCTAGCCAACTGATTTGACCATGTTAAATGGCAGTGAGTTTTTTGCATAAATTCCTCCTGCATAAGTATGGCTGATTTTACTGGCTATGTAAAGCACCAGTGGATTTAGTCATGCTCATGTAAATCTTATTATTGAAATACTATATGAAACACTTGATTGACATGAGCTGCTAGAACAGACAATACAAAATGTTTTAAATTATGCTTTTAAAGGTAATCTCATACTGAGGATATAAGAAATAATGTTGAAGGAAAACAAAAAGTGTCCTGAAAGCAAGGATTTCCATACTTAGCGTACTAGAAATGCACAGCATTTCTTATAAGCACAGCATTTTAAAATGCACAAATTGCTCAGAGATTTGTCCACCTTGCCAATTGTATGGGCAGGGACAGAAGTCCCAGAAAAGCAGGTGCTCTTTCAACACACAGCTGAGGACTCCAAAGCTTTTTGGGGATTTGGATGCTCAGTTCCAATTAAATTTTCAACCTGAAGCAGCTCCAAGAGCTCCACCAAACTAGCATCTGTACAAATGAAAGTTTATGTTGAGCATATTGCTCATCATTTTACAGGCATGGTTTCAGTGTGTTTAAACTTAATTTTCAGCACAGCTACTGGTCAATGTTTCTTGCCCACTAACAAAAGCTGTCTTAAGCAGTCTTACTCATCAAGTACAAACACTCCCAGACAGGTCTTTTAAAACTGTAAGGCTGAAAGAACAGCTTAAATGATCACTTCTGCAGAAGGCAAAGTGTGGTTTGATGTTTCATATAGCATTAGGTATCCAGATACATCATGTTACACAAATATGTATTTTCTTAACTACATGTCTACAGCAACAACAGGCACAGAGGCATTCACAGGCACATTTTAATGCCAAAGAGGCCCTATGTCAAGTTTCAGAAAAATGCATTCTCTTTCACACACGCACTCACATCTTTCCCTGGAAACTTGAAATAAGCAGAGCAGTTGCCCAATATTCTACCACAGAAGCGGTATCTTCTAAGGAAGATTTGGGATTTCAAGATCAAACCACTGAGATCAAGACTCCACAGCAACGATATTTCACTATAAAGACACCGTACATACAATGTGATAAAATTCAATTTTACAAGTGCCTGCAATTCAGGCAAGTTATATATTTATATATGTACACATTATTTTACAAATAAATCTTTGTATAACACGTATAACAGCATTTGACTGAAAAGAAGATCCTACTACAGACAAAAAAAAAAAAAGAAGAGGGTGAGGAAGCCAAAGAAGTGATAAAATAAAACAATCAACAGGAAAACAGAATTTAAGAGATTCACTGATATTCATAAGCAACAGTAACACCCGATTTTGCTAACACTTTCAGTTTGGTTACAAAGCATTTGTATTACCTGTCGACTTCCCTGCTTGGAGGAGCAGCTGCTAGTACTTCTTGAAGGAGACAGCATTTTCTGGGATACACCAAAGCTTTTTTCTTCACTCATGATCCACGACCATTCGTTTCACATCAGCTCACTTAGAACACCATTAAAAGGTAATTAAGCAAAGGTATTGGAAGACTCCTGAGAAATGCAGAACTCATCGTTTACTCAAATGCATTCCAGTGGCATGATCTGCATCCCATGGAAATTCCTAAAAGAAAAAACAAAAAGCTGAGTTTATCAGATATGATCGCTTACTGCCATCCAGTAACATGAATCATACAGCCTTTGGTAATACAAGCTGACCGCATTACTGTACACTACTAGAAATATATTCAACAGTCACTTTAAGATAGATTTTCAAGGATCAAACAAGACCATCAAGAATTTTGGGTCCTAAATGCATACTTTAATTGTCATGGTTTATGCAGAAGACAAAGTACAGTACAAAGAATCATTTTAAAGACTTAAATTCATAATAACAAAGACAACTAACAAAGACACAGAGTATATTAAATATTTATGCAAAAAGGATCAAAATATTCTCAAAATGAGAAAGCATCTAACTAAATATATTACAAAAAGGACAGCACTGAAAAAATACTTTTTTTCAAGTTCTTTGACGATTTAAACAAGTAAGCATGGCTTCAGATTGTAAGAAAAAAGACCATATATAACATATAATATACACAAGTAGAGAGCATGCAAATTCAGCTATATAAAGCTGTGACATGAGCATCTTACCTGAAACCAGAAGAAAGTTGTGACTACTGTCACATCAGTTGTCCAAGTCAGTGACTGGAAGAACAGTCAACAGTCTGTTTAATAACAGTGCAGTTTGCAGCATATGCAAATAAAACCCATGCCAGAAACTCCCAATAACGGATTTCCAGTGTGGGCAAGAGTTGTCATGGTAACTGCATTTTTGTTTTTAAATTGAACAGAGGACGTAACAAAAGGGTGATGCTTTCCAAAACTTGGGGTGACGGAGCAGCTTTGTGAATTGTCTGTCGCTTCAGATTTTGTCTTGGGCAACAAATCTGCACATGAGGAACGGTGCAAGAACCTAGGAAGGTAAAGACATTTCCACAGAGAAGAGAAAATTAATTGCTGGAATAGGGAGGCATTACTTCACAACCTGCTTAATAGCTCACACTGTCACAAGTGTCCTGAACTAGGCTCTCTGGTTATTGAAGTTTTCCATTAATTTTTCTTCTCCTGAAGAGGCACAAAAGCCCATGCTGAGAGAAATAGCATTTTAAGATCCCTAGTAAAATGTTTTGTTTTAGAAATTCTAGTTTTCCTTAAAACACAAAACAAACAACAAGCAAACAAAACCACCGTGACAAACAGGTGCTGCATTTAAGATAACAACAACCCGGTACTTCTGAAAGCCTTGCTTCTAACTGCTGCGGTCTGAAGCATCCAGTTTCTGAACAAAGACCAGTTCCAGTGTATAGCGCCTCTTCTGCAGTATGGCTTGATCTTATCTATTTAGAAATACTCAATTACCCCCAGAGCAAATCTATCCTAAACAACACTAATGAAACTGTCCCAGTCTCCAGAAGTCAGATGAAAAAGCAAGCTCTGCTGAGGCTGTTTCACTGGTGAGTCAGTTGGCAATCGTTTCCAGTAACCATCCGATAAATACAAAACCAGAGAGTACAGTGCAAGAGCCTAAGAAAAACACAACAGCACAGTGATGTGAACTGGGCCTTGCACACCAGTTTTGCACTGAAATTACTGCTGAGAATAGGACTAGTGCAGTTTGGAGAAGGTATAGACTCTTCCTAGCCAGAAGACAAATTTCTGTGTGGCACTTCACCAAGGACTAGCACTTTTAACAGGTTTAAACTATTGAGTAAGCATAAAGCACAACTTTATTAATCAGTTTCAAGATGCATTTAGTAAACAGTTTAATGGTAACATCCCTGTTAAGAAGTAGATGTCAAACACGATAGGAAAATAAATTCTCTTCATATAAACTAAGTTCAGATACTGCCTTGAAAGTGCCATGCACCAAGTGTTTTACTGATGTTCACTGATCACTCAGGTAGCCATGCAGTCCTCTTCACTGCTTGGTGTCTAAAACGACCAATTTACCACTTGGCTTTCATTGTTCACTATCTGGCATTTTGGCAAAGATTGGCAAAGTTCATGACAAGAAAACAGGCTTAATTTGCAGCAAAATGCACTTAAAGTTACTGTCATCATTATCTTGAGAGCATATCCCCCAGGACATGCCAGACGGAAATTATGTGATACCCTTTGCCCATCTGAACACAGCGCAATGGTCGTGACACCCTGGAAGCTTCAGAAAATGGATAAACAAACTGGAGGCCTCTCTGATTTTAATACAAAAAAAGAAGTCATGTAATCAAAAGGATATTTCCATCAGCTTTCTTTTTTTCTGTGTGGAGCCTAAAGGAAATTAAGGTGTGTCCACATTTGCATTTTAGCACAGATTAGAAGTACACTTCCTCTGCAAATCTCCTGATCACCCCTTCTGACCACAATTTGGGTAGCTCTGCAGGACAGTTGTGGAGCATGGACACCAAATCCCCTTTGGATGAAGTGAAAGCAGAAGGCATGCTCCAGGAGCACAGCCAGTGCTCACTGAGCTGTGGCACCAAACTGGAGCTCATCCTGACTGGTCCCATCCTGGTGTGGATGCGGGAACCTCGCCATTACCTGATTCACTCAGAGGTCCACTTTTACTGCACTGCTCTCCTTGCTAATGCCGATATGGTCTAGACACAGACTTACACCACTTAACTTTGGGCACGCAGATAAGAACTCCAGATCTCCTTTGGCAATTGTTATGTAGGAAGCAAAAAGAGAGAGATGGGCACTTTTCCAGAACTCAAATGAGTTGAAGATGACTCCACCACCTAACCCAAGGTGCTTAAGAGAGGCAGGAGGCTGGAAGGATACATCTGACAAAGACCACCTTGTATTCTGAATATTCTGAGGTTTACTTCCAAAATAGGGCTTTCCAATTTTCTTGTATTCCTTCAAATTAATTTGCTACATGGACTTAAGAAAAGGCTTTTGTTACCAGCTCTGAAGAAGGCAGGAATGATGTGTGCCCTCTGTCTGAAGTCTTTTATTAATGTTTCAGTAATGTTTCCCAGTAATTCAAGTTATTACCTCGAGAATTCCAGATCTGAACGTGAAACTGTAAGTGAATACTGAATATGGCTCCAACCCATCTGTCAAAACTGCTGCATCCTCCAGCAACTGCTTTGTGCTCCTTTTTTAAAATTCTCTTCAAGCTCAGGAAGAAGAGAGGAAAACATGGTTGCCCTTCAACAACTACCAACTTATGCTTCCATAAGGGTGTGAAAACACTGATCCTGCATCCCAAGCAGACTCGTATTCTGGCTGCCAACAGCAGTGATTGAGCTTCTCTAGGGTGACTCATATTTTACATTACCTGCAGCACATAAGGTTACAATGGTACATGAGCAATTAAGACTTTAAAGCAGGCACAAAAAACAGAATTGTGCTAACTAAGCTAAAATTGCAGCAGGCTCTCACTGGTTTGAGGTAAACATGATCCAATTACTTCAGGTTCAAGACTTTCTGCTTTTCCTCTTGCCACAGGAGAGCCTCAGAACTAAGTATGTTTGCTCCCATCTTTCCTCAGAAGCATGCACTACCAACTACCTCTGTCTCCTCCAAAAAGACAATTTAAAGGCATGAGGCTGAGGCAAATCCAAATAAATTTAGGAGAAGAATTGTCACAACTGCTAAGTATTGGCCTAATTCTTCTCTATTAAGTCAACAACAGCAAAAGTAGGCCAAGAGTACTTCTGCAAATCACCTCACCATTTTATAGAAGTAAGAAAACACGAGCATCCAATATTATTTATAGCTATTGTGTCCTAAACCCATAAGCAGTACTTATCTTTACTTATCATCTGTTACCAGGAGCCTTATCATTCTAAATCAATCAAAACAAATAATAGGTATATGACAATATGTACAACAGGAAGACCTGCTAAAAAATAAAAAACAAAAGAGTACCATCCTAACTTGTCCTCATTGTCCTCAAACCTTTACAACTGCATTGGCTCAAAACAGCTCCTCAGTATCACAATTCATCTCTAGCAATTCTCAAAGCAATAAGCATACAGCAAAATCCCACATCTCACAATAGAAAGGCATGAATTTAGAAAAATCTGGAAAAACTGCAGCTTCAAATCAACATTATGTGATTGTTTTTGTTATGGCTTTGGAAGAAAAAGACTTAACAGCTGTTTCAGAGCTGATTCAGCAGTGAAAAATCACTGTAGAGACAATTTGAGCAGTGAAACTGAAAGTGTATGTCTCACCCCGTAACTGTAGTCAATTGAAATTTTGTGACTAGAAGAATGGGAACAATGAAAAGCCTGATGAAAGTCATGTGGACACAGCCAGTGCAAGACTGAGCAATCCAAAGTAAGAGCTGCAAGCAACATTGGGTGACTTTCATGGAATTAAAAAAGAATCCATACTGAGACCTTTGCTCTACAGCTATTATAAAATTATTAAGTTACATTCACTCATGTCCACCTGGATAAACACAGCGATAGTTTTTTCCAAGTAATGCTTTCATGGCTTTCTCTGTTATACTTCAAATTGTCAGCTTTAATATATCCAACAGTCTCATCTGGCTAAAGAAAAAAAAATTATAAACATTATAACATTATTTATAGATACCATCCAAATCACAGCCTCTGTTGAGCAGATGCTTTCGTTGGCCATGGACATGTGCTACTTACTCTCCGAAGTACTCTGTGATGCAAAGAAACCATTACTTCTATCTAGGCTACTTTCTTAAGGAGGCTGCTGTAGTAATTAAATCATGCTATTGCAATGACCCAAGAGAGGAAAATTTAGTTCGAACAAAACTGTCCTAATTGTTTAATCAAGAGAGACAGAGGGTGGGAAAGGGAAAAAAAAAAAAAAAAGGCAAACAGACAAACAACAAACATACTGCATTTAACACCAGATTACTTTTCATGTATAATGTTCATCACTTAATGAAAAAAATCCTGTGTTCTAAGCATACAGAAAACAAAACAAAACAACAAGAAAACCCACACAACTAAACACCCAGAGAGAATCCAATCCACTACAGTACATCCCAAATAAGACACCAAAGAATAACGTGTTTCGTTGTCAAGTCTAGTCAGATGTTCCTGGAGCAAAGCAAGTATCTACTGTTTCACTAACCCTTGGGACAAATAATTCAGTCCCTTGTACTAGAAAGATCTTATATAAATTTAGAAGTATGTCATTATGCATCCTAAAATGTAAGTATACATAAAAATACCACCTTTCCCTCACATCTACCATAGAAATTGACTTTAATACTACATGTGACGTGATTAATTTTAAATGCATAATCTTGACACTGTTGCCCCCTTCCCCCAGGAGATGAGATAGATTACATTTGTATGAAATTTGCTACATATGTATCACGGACAGATAGGTTAATAATCTTTGTGGCTAGAGATTAAAAAAAAATCCATTAGTAATGGCAGCATTATAATGTTAATTGTTTAGCTGTCATACCACCTTTTCAATCCAACTTTTAATCACGGGTGAGAATGAGAACACAGCTAAATAGGACTGACTTAGCTCACAGTCGGGTCCTAAATAATTCATTCCTCTTCTCCCCTGGCCCCTTTTGGAAAGAGTCTTACCAAGGGACAGGCTGGCAGCTCTGTGCTCCTTAGCACAAGCTACCAGAAGGACCAGGGTCCCAGATAACCCCCTACCAGCTCTGAGTACACCTCACACACATGACAGAGAAGCCCCAAACCCAGGGACCACAGGACCTGCTTTGTGATGCTGGAACAGAGTGGTCCACAGTCTCCCTATCCAGAAAGTAGGAGCTACCAAGCTGTGATCAAATCCAATGCTGGGAGTACAGCGCTGCTCGTGGGCACAGTGAGGGCTGTCAACCTCAAGCAATAAAGAAGCAGTGGGACTGTTTGCAATGGACGTCCTATTCATCCAGAGAAGACTTTACAAGCCAAAAGACAAAGGATGATCAAGCAATAGAAGAGAGAAGAA